TTTTTTGTTTGTGTGTTTTTTTAAAAAAGCTAAAGTGGATAAAGAAAAATACTTTTAACTGATGGTATATGGAGGGGATTATAATCAAAGTAATGAAATAAGTTATATGAATTGTTGAATGTGAAACTGATGATGTGCCCTGTAAACTTTCACTCAATCCACAATAAAAACCTTAAATTAAAAAAAAAAAATTATGAAGGAATCAGAGGATCATGTCACTGAATACCTGAATTAGTCAAGAACATAAAATTTGGGTCTAAGATGATAGGGAGGGGACTATATCTTACGGGTGGCTTCCCCTCAATTAGAAAAAAAGTCTGGAGAGATTGCCACTTGAATTCAAAGACTATAAACTAAACCTCTATTGAACAAGCGTGTTTGTGTGTGTAAGGAGACATGGAGTAAGAAGGGATGCGTGGAGCAGGATTCATGTCTTCCAGTCTCAAACTGCTTCCCACAGCAATTAATAAGGTCACACCATGGAGTCTGTGCTCAGTGATGTCCACTACCACTGCCTTCTTTCAGCTGAAGAGAAAGTATCCTGTGCCATCCCTGCAATGCACAGACAGGTACCCATGGTGGGTCATGAAGATGAGCATGAGGAAGTAGCTGATGACCACCTGGAATATGTGTAGCACTGTCTGCAGGATGTGAGGAAAGCTCAGTATCTGTGTCTCCAAAAAGACGGTTCCATTTGGCCCTGGGACAGGCATGGAATTACAGCGGATGCTGACCTGAGACTTGTACAAGTTCTCCCAGGCTATCTTCAGTCCTTCCTAGAACATTGCTAGTAAAAACACTGCCATTTCTCCTGCTGTAATGAAAGTCAAACCTGAGAACAACAGCTACACATCCTTAAGGTCATAGGCACCATCAATCATGTCATCATGTCCTCTAGCACATGATGGAGTGTGAGACAGTAGTATTGTGGTCCACAGAGCTCAGTCCTGCAAGATGGGAAGTATCCATTTTTCTAAGCATTCAGTCAGTGGAAGATCCTTTGCATTCGACGATGGAATGACAGAATTCACGCATGCATTCATCTATCTGGACAGCACCTTCCCAGGTCCAGCCCAGCCACCCGGTGCCTCCTCACAGAACCTTAGCCCATAACCCTTCACGACTCAGAAGGCCCCTCCACCTCTGCCAGGATCAACATTGTCATTCGTTTTCTTGACCAAATCCGCTATAATCCAATGCTGCTTCCATGAGCACGGATCCAAGCAAAGTGAAGATCCGAGACAACTTCAGTCTTTTCTCTGTTTATCATGATTTTGTCTGTTAGTTCAGTTGTAAGGGTTTTTGTTGACGTAACACTGAAGTGTAATCCATACTAAAGGTTGTAGTCTGATCTTCATCAACAAGTGCTTCAAATCCTTTCAGCAAGCAAGGTTGTATCACCTGCATATAACTGACTGTTAACAAGCCTTCCTCCAATCATGATGCCACATTTCTCTTCATAAAGTCCAGTTTCTTGGATTATTTGTTCAGCACACAGACTAAATAAGTATGGTGTAAAAGGATATAACCCTGGTGGTGCACACCTTTCCTGATTGTAAACCACTCAGTATCCCCTGTTCTGTTTGAAAGACTGCCTCTTCTTGTTCTATGTACAAGTCCTCAGGAGCAAGATGAAGTGTTCTGACCTCATTCTTTGTAACATTACTCATAGTTTCTCATGATCCACAGTCAAATGCCTGCTCTTCCAAATTTCTTGGCACTGATTAGTAAATACCAGCATTGCATCAGTTCGTTACATTTCAATTTGCATTCTGTCAATTACTTGAACCTTCTTTTTTGCTAATGCCTTCAGTACAGCTTGGACTTTTTCCTTCAATACCACTAAAGAATAGGTTTTGTTGTTGTTGTTATGTGCCATCGAGTCGGTTCCGACCCATAGCGACCCTGTATAGGGTTTCCGAGGGTGTAAATCTTTACGGGAGTAGAAAGACTCATCTTTCTCCCGCGGTGCAGCTGGTAGTTTCGAACCGCTGACCTTAAGGTTCGCAGCCCGATTCGTAACCACTACGCTACCAGAGGTTTAGTAGAGGCCAAATGGAATTTTCCTGAAGGAATGCCTTGTATGTTACTAAGAAGCAAACCCAGGGAAAAGTGACAAGCAAATTGGCCAAGGTGGCTCCTAAGCCATCTCCCAGCATGGTGGACATGCTGTTTCCCTGGCCAGATGCTAAGATGGTGGTTTGACAGACACTGAGGCCCCTAGTATAGCAAGGACTTGGACTGATCCAGAGCAGAGCTGGCTTCTCCCCAGGCCATGTCTGTGGCCACCCTGACTCTATCCCAAGCCTGAAATGGCCTATTCTTCAGGTCTGACCCTCAAATCTCTCTTCAGGGATCACAGGTCAGTCTGGCTCTATCCCGAGACACAGTAGCAGAAGCTGGGTCAGTCTGCCACTCTGGGGCCTGAGCCCTGCAGACCTTCTACCTTGCGTACACAAAGCACCACCTCCTGGGGCGTCGTGTGGCAGCCCAAACCCCAGGGCATTCCCAGAGGCCAGGGCTCCAGTCTCATCCCCAGGGTCTGTCCATTCCTCATCGGTCTCCCCTTGGCTTCAGGGACACTGGAGACTCAGAGAACGCAGCCCAGCAGCCAAGACAAACCAGCTTTTGAACCTTGTCTACTACTTATTAACTAACATGTGACTTATTAACAAGCGTATGATCAACCAAAACCTCTATGAGCCTCAGTTTGTTCAATTATTGATGCAACTGACAATAGGGAAGCCCTCATAGGACTCCTGGGAAGAGCAAATGAAACACAACACACCAAGGTCCAGATTCGGTCATGTTATATCCTCCATCAGTACCTCAGCCAACAGGAAGAAGCCAGCCAGGGGTCCTGCTCCCCTGAACTCATTCTGAGTCCCTGAACCTAGCAATGTACCTTTACCTCCTTACTTTCTAGCCAAAGCCAGACAGTGACCTTCACCAAGGGCTGGTCCCCCTACCCCCTATCACCTCCATGGTCCTAACCAAAAAGTAATATTCTAGACCATGTTGTCCACTGGCATATGCACACACACACACACACACACACACACACACACACACACACCCTCACCAGGGGCCGGTATTCCACGTCCTCTCTGAGCAGGCGGTTGTCGTTCAGGGTATATTTGGCTTTTCCAGTCACACTGTCCACAGGTCCCTTGTCCACTTGGTGCTTAATTCCTCGGAATAGCATATACAGAGGCTCCCCTACCGAGTCCTAGGAGAGTGGCAGGCAGTTAGGTCCCCATCCCTGGGAAGGTACCAGGTATAGGACAAAGGTCATAGAACATACTACATGCTGAGAACAAGAACAAGACCCAAGCTGCAGAAGGCTGAGGTGGGACCAACATGGGTGCATCAGCTGTGTGGGGGCCAGAGGTCTAGAACTTAGGGTCCTGACCCTCCCGGGGGGTGAGGAGGAGTGGAGGCAGCATCCAACTCCATCTCCCTCACCCTCACGAAGGTGTAGAGACAGATGGACATCCAGTTGGTGAGGAGCTTCTCCACCACAGTCTCTGTCCTGTGTGACAAGGAAAGGGAGGGTCAGGGCCATCAGATGGGGCTGTGGCACTCTCTGTCTATAGGCCCCAAGACCCCAGAGGCCCTGTGTCAACTCCTGGCTCCCACCACCCACTGCCTGCCTGGCCCTGGCACCCACTTCCTGCTTCCCACAGCCATACAAACCTGCGCAGCATCAGCTTGGGGTTCTTGGCCACATACTGGGCCACTAGGTCACTAAGCAGGGTGCGGAGGATGTCGGTGAAGTACTCGAGCTTCCCATGCAGTGCCACTGTAAGCAGGGATGCCACATAGGCCCGGTCCCTCGCAGAGAAGGTGCGCTGGCTCTCCAGCGTATGGATAAACTGAGGCCAAGGAGAGGGGCAGATTCAGAAATGGTGCAACCAAGATGAGGGAAGGCTGAGAGAGTTCAGACAAAGGTAAGTAGTTGGGATCAGGAAGGTGGGAAGGGAGGGAACAAGAGGGTGGGGGCAGAGGGCAGGGGCACCTTGGTTAGGAAGAGTTTGCTGTTGAGCAGGTTGGAGAGCTGTCCTAGCCCTTGTTCCACAGTGGGTCGCCTGCTCTCAGGCACACCAAGGTCCCGGTGCAAGGGTGACTCCCGGTGCCCGGGGAAAAAGACCCTCTCAGCGTACACCTTGTAGTCGAGGAAAGGGATACCACTGCCCAGAAGGTCACTGGTGAGATCAGTCATCTCGGTCATGAGGTCTGTTGATCAGAGGAGGCCGGGTTGCGACAAGGATCTTGTGTGAGGGCAGCTGGCTCAGCAGAGCCCTGGCAGTGGGGCCTGGTCCCTGAGGCCTCACCTGTGAACTCCTTCTTGCAGCGATCCCGCACACTGCTCTCCAGATTCTCCAACTGGATCTGCACCTTCTTGTAGTCCCTCAAGGCCTGCTTGCTCTTCCTTCTGCTCAGCACCAAGGAGGTTGGGAGGCGGCAGGCCAGAGGAAGCCAGAGCCCTTGCTGGCCCAGCAGACTGACCCAGTCACACCTAGCCCAGGACAATTTAGCCTATCCCACCCATGACCAGGTCTAATCCAGCACAGGGATCAGCAAACCACAGGCCAAATCTGGCTCACGCCCTGTCTTGGTCAATGAAGTTTTGTTGGAACCCACGTGCTTTTGCACTGCCATGGTAGGGTTGCATAGCTGCAATCAAATCACCTGACCCACAAAGCCTAAAATATTTACCCTCTGGCCCTTTACAGACAATGTTTGCTGATACCTGGTTTGGTCTGGTCTGCCCTGCCACCCTTTCCCAATCCAACCACACCCTTATCTGCCCCGCTCAGTTTGCTCAACTACCTCTAGCTGCACCCACCTGTACATGAGGACAATGATGAGGACACCCAGAGCCAGAAGAGAGGTGCCCACCCCCAAGCCCACCTGGGCCGCCACAGGAAAGGCTACGGGACTCTCGCCATCGTATTGAACACGACCCAGGGAGAAGTACAAGTTCCCCATCTGCACCTGCTCAGGGAGGGAGCCAGATAGGAGTGAGAGCTCAGCAAGTGCCTGAGGCCCAGCCTAGCCCACCACCTGTCCACCCACCGTGAATTCGGGCAAAGCGTCAGGTGCGTCCCGGAGGGCATGGTGTCGGGGCAGGGGTTGCTCCGTGGGAGGTTCGCAGTAGAGGTGGTGCCGGGTCAGTGTCTTCACCATGCAGGGACCGTGTCCTATCATGGCCACCACCTCCTCCTTGGACATTGCAAGATCCAGATTCTCCCCCTAGAACATGGGATACAACTGACCAGTGTACTCAGACCCTCCCTGAAGGAGAAGCAGATGGTCACTCAGATCCTCCCGCACACATATGGGAAGAATAGTCCTGGACTTCTCACCAGGAACAGGGTTGACAGTCCCTCAGCACCTCTTCCCCTGTCATATGGGGCCAAGAGTCATGGGATGCCCTCCATGTCCCTGGCCCTACCCCCTCTTCCCTCCCGGGGTCTTAACTTTTCCAGAGTCAAAACCTGGAAACTCCATTCTGTAACACTACCCCCAGAATCCTACCTAACCAAATTAGAGACCCTGCTTTGTGTCTGATGGCCCACCCACCCCATGGACACTGGTCCAGTCACCTACTGCATCCACCCCACGCAGTTACTGCATGCCATGTCATTTACATCACACCATGCAGTTAGTACATGTCATGTCATCTACATATTAGTCACAGCCCGCCACAGAGTGTGTCAGGACCCAGGCCACACCCATGACAGAAGAGGAGCCAAGTCCCTCCACTGGCCTAGGCTCTACCCTCCTACCCTCTGCCCACAGAAGGGCTGTCCAGTAAAGGAAAGGTGTGGGGCCACCGTGCCCAAGTCAGAGCAGTACCTCCACAGAGAACACGCTCCCAGGCTTGTGTCGGAATGGTATGGTGGGATCCTCTGGGTTGAGGGGATGCAGTGTGGGGTCAGCCTCGTAGGAGAAAGGTATGGGGTTCAATGTAGCAAAGTCAAAGATCAGGTTGTCAAGGACAAATTCCACCTGGACCCTGCTCTCAGGCAGACCCGGGATGGCAGGCGTGCGGCATGTGATAAGCTGGGAGGAGTTCACATAGCATGGCTCTTCAAACTGGGGTGAAGAGAGGGAAGACAGGAGGGTCAGCTGAGGGGGTATGAGGCAAGGGAGCCAAGCAAAGATGCGGAGAATTTCCTTTGGCACCAGTCACCCAGGGCTGTTCACAGGATATGGTGTGGGGAAAGGGGCAGGCGGCAGCTAGCCCAATGCAGGCTGGGGATGCCCAGGGTGTCCTACGTGTTGGCCACCACAGGAGGCTCCGGGGGAACACACTGTCTCCGGGATCACTCGACGTCTCCGACCAAGCCCCTGGTCAGACCTCAGCACTCTCAGGGTGAGGGTCACTCGGATTCTTGGGGTCTGCACCACATCCAGATTCTGGCCACGGACCCATATCTCTCGTCCTCCACTGAAACATAGCCCAGGAACCACTGGTCATGGCCCCTGGACACAGGGAGCTGCCATCCCCATAACTTATGTGACCCAGTTCCAAAGCCGAGCCCCAGTCCCAAACCACATAGGCCCTTCTCCCCACCAGTAACATGGGATTCCAAACCCCCACATAAACACTACAAACCCTATGTACTACAGCTACAATGGTCTTCATCACCCCCTGCTACATGCTATGTACCTGAGGAAGCTTTTGGCAGGGCTGGCGGAGGTGATGTTAGGGTCTGGAGTGTATTGGAACTGGCTGTGTCGGAGCCTCCTCTCAGCAACCCCGAACCACACGGCCACAGGGAGCAAAGCAGGTATGGGGTACGGGCTGGTCTCACAGCACAGCTGCTCCGACTGTTGCTCTGGCAGCCTAGGGAGGGAGGTGGTATGGGACGAAGTACACGGAGGAGGAGAGGAACTGAGGAGAAGGGGTCCCTAACTCACTCAGGCCTCAGGCAGCGCTGGCTACTGTCAGAAGGAGCCCACTTAACCTTCGCCCCTTCTCTGGGGCCCCTCCTCCCTGCCCTGAGCACTTGGATTTTTGCAGGATGAGAAACAGCTCTCACAGGTGACACGGCTGGTCTCCAACCACAACTCGGATGTCCTCCAGGCTCCCAGTCAGAAGCTTAGAGCCTCGCAGGGTGAGTTGGGTACCCCCAGCTCTGGGGCCACGAGACGGGAAGATGGAGTACACCTCTGGATCCTGTGGGGGTTGCGGAGGAGGAAAAAAAACAAAGACATCAGTCTACCAGATAAGCGGTGAGAGTGCGGATGGAGGTAGGAGTGGGGGACCTGAGGCAGAAGAGATGGCCTGGGGTCAGGGTGGAAAGGTGCACTGGGAAGGCAAAATCAGAGGGGCCAGGAAGAGCCACCACATACAGTAGCCCCTCAGCAGCCAAGCACCTGGTAGGTAAAGTCACGTTCAGAAATACCATGTCCTCTTCCCAATACCGCCACCATCGCGGGGCCTGACACTTCCTCCCGGCTGACCCCAATGATGCACACAAGGCTGTGGGGACAAAGAAGAAAGCTGGAGGCCTAGGAACCCAGGGCTCCCCAAACTATCCTGGCTGCCCTCTCCCTGCCCCTCAAGGTCAAGCAGTCTCCTCCCTCCTCCCCAACAAGATTGATAGCTTTGGAGGAAATTCCTTATTGCAGACTTTTGCATCTGAAGATTAATATTTGTGATAGCAATCATCCAAATGTGACGTCCCCCAAATCCCCAACAAGACAAGATGCATTTCTTTGTTGTGGTGCAAATTTACAAAGGAGCCCTGTCAGGCTGGGCCTTGCCAGCTGCCCACAGCCCCCACCCTAACTGCATGCACAGCAACATTCGCAAAGTGGGAGAAATGGTATTTTCTCATAGAAAAAAATTCCCTGAAAGATCTAGTCAGATCTGGGGACAAACTGCAAAGGGTAGGTGAATGTTCTAAGAAAACAATGGTTCTCAGCCAGAACAGAGAAGCCTGAGGCAAATTAATTTCCATAGTGTCATGCCTGGAAGGGCTCAGCAGTGAAACTGTCCCAGTCACTGCAAACACTTAAGGAAAACAGAACAAGTGATGTGTGAACTACCCTGGAGAGGCTTCAGTCAGAATCTATCTTCATCCCTTCATAAAGCATTTCACAGATGACTTCAGACTTACAGTTTTGAAATCATTAACAGCCTGGACAGTCACAATACATCTGGGGGATAAACTACATGCTCTAGTACAATGACTCCTTACTGAAAGAAAAAAGGACAACTCTGGGGCTCTGTAGAACCAGATCTGAGTATGATCTGCTTTGTGTTGGCTGTAGGCAGATGCTCCAGGTAACCTGGAAATTCAGCCTGGTTTGGGATGTGCCATGAGCCCCAAGAAGGGACTGGACAGAGGAGCTTGACACTCAGCAAGTGTGCCTCATGTCTACCCTATGTCTACTGTCCTGTGGGGCTCGGTTCAGGGCAGTCCTTGGGGAAGAAGATAGGAATACCAGTCACTGACTACAGCTGCCTGAGAGCTGAAGACCTCTTCCCATGACTGTGTGGAAGGACACTGTAAAAGCCAGGTGACATGGCTGACAGAGCAATGACCCCCAACACACACAGACACTCACACACAGGCACACCCATCCAGGAACCTGAAGGTCTACTCTCCAGGGTCTCAAGCACCAAGGCCCAAGGAATTGTCACAAGAGCCAAGGAAACGGAGAGAGGAGGTAGATGGGTGGCGCTGGACGAGTGTTCCCTGCTCCGGTTGGGTCCTGCTAGCTCACCTGCTAGAGACCTCATACTCCTGAGTGTCCACTGCACAGGGCACTCCAGCCACCGTGACCGTGTCCTGCACGTCCTGCACATGCTGGCCCAGGTTGGAGCCCCTAATGGTGACTCGGGTGCCTCCATCCACAGGCCCAGTCAGTGGCTCCACCTGTTCCAGGACAAGGCCTGCTCACCTCCACCCACCTGTCAGCCCCTGTCCACCTAGGAAGACAAGCTCCAGCCTCCCCACAACCTTGGGCCCTTTATGCTCACAGCAAAACCCACCCTCCCTCCAAGGCAACAGTGAGGAAGGGATGTGCTGGAACTCTAACACACCGAGTGGATGACGGGCGCAGGGCACTGGGTGGCCACAGCTTCGGCCTGACCACAGGCCTCCTGGGCCACACAACGCGGCTGCACCCCCTCGCACCACACACAGTCATACTGGGACTGGGCAGTTTGGCAGCGGCTGCAGTCCCCATGTCCCACGGAGCAGTCATACAGTACCACTGGGATGGCAGAGACGAGTGTGAGACGCAGGCACAGAAGAGCCTTGCCGCCCACCAGCCCCAGAGGCCCCAGTGAGCTCACCGTGCAGTCCATCAGCACTGTCTACACGCAGGCGGCCGGCCCGGCGCAGAAACAGCCCCACGTGGAGCTCTGGCAGGAGTGTCTCATAACTGAGCTGGAGAGATGGCGGCGGGGAAGGGCAGCTGTCAGAGTCTGGGGCTGGGGGAGGCACCAGGCCTGGGGCAGCGGTGATCACACAAAGGACCGAATGACCAGTTGTGCAGTACAGGCTCATAGGTGATAGCAGAAGAACAGGACCCCATGAAGCAAGGGTAATAGGCAGAGCTGGGGTGCAGGGATTTGTATGGTAGAAGGTATAAGGACACATGGGGTCTTGGGGTCAGAGACTAGAGCTGGGGTACTGAGGCCCTTTAGGGATACAGGGTCAAGGCTTGGGCCGGGACAAGCATGGTGTAGCCAGCTGAGGTTGATGGCCAACCTGTGACCAGTGGCCCTTGCCCACCCCGCTCTCACGGTCCGCACCTGGTGGGGCTGGCAGGTGACATGGCAGCGAGTATCTGGAGGGGGCCCACACTCCACACTGGCTCCAACTACCACCTCTCGGCCCTCCAGCTCCATCACACACTCAGTCAGTCCTGGGCTGGCCTGGGAGCAGACGACATGGCTGCTGGGGCAGTTTCAGGAACTGGGTCCAGTGAGCACCCACAAACGCCCCAACCTCACCTCTGGACAGGAGCTGAGACCTGATGCCATGTCCCCTTCCTCCCCCAGGAGACCCCTGCCCCCTCCTTGCCCCAGGGCTAGCGTACAGTCTATGAACAGCCAAGGAGGTCTCAAAGACACCTACCAGCAGGACACACTCACCTGGAAGAGGCGCAGGTTCCTGCCAACCAGGTGGACCTGGCGCTCCACGAGGACAGGAATCAGCATGGAGCCCTGGACGCTCTCCACACAGGGGCAGGCATTCGCCCCCCAGCCCACCTCTTCCTACGGGCCCAAGAGCAACGGTCCATGGAACCCACCCTGCTGCACAGTCCTCTCCTGGCAGAGTCCCAGGACTTGGTCAGCAGCATGGGGTAGCAGACTCCACCTCCCTCTAGGTCCCGCTAACACAAAATCACAAGGCAAACAAGGGGCTTCATCCTCCCCGAAATCCTCCCCGGAGGCGTCTATCCAGAGCTTGGCCTCACCAGCTCCCAGAGCCCGGGGGTGTCGTACTGGGAGTCGAGGCTGGACAGGAGGATGAGAGGGGCGGGAGGACCCTCGTGCTCAGCCGAGTCTCCATCACCTGAGAGGAGGGTGGAAGTGGAGAAGGCGGGTGCGTCACCCCCTGTCCACTCGTCCACCTCGGGCAGCTCGCCGCCTTCTCTCATTAGCCAGTCCAGAGCAGGCCTCATGGAGCCCGCAGCCCCTGGGAAAGTGGTAGTAGGAGCAGTGCCGGGGGGCTGCTCCAAGGGGATCGCAGAGGGGAGGGTCTCAGGGCCAGACTCTGTAGGGACAGGGAGCAGGGCTGCTGCTTCAGAGGGAGATGGGTAGGGGGCCAGATGATCCTCAGATATGGCTGTGGGTCCAAAGAGAGTGGGGATGGGGACAGCAGTTCCAGGTCTATTGGGGGAGTCTGGAAGGGTAGACTCCTTGTGGAGAGGTGGCTCCGGAGAACTGGGAGCAGGTATGGGGCCGGGACCTATCCCCGGCTCCCAGGGGCTAAGCAAGGCAGGTCTAGTCCCTGGTGGAGTATCTGAGGCTGTGGTCGGGGAAGGAGCCCCAGGCTCCATGGGAAGGGTGTCAGGAGCAGGGGTTGTGGGTGGGAAGGGGCTGGGCACACTGCCCGCAGGAGGGGCTGGAGAGAGAAGCGGGCTCTGAAGGGTAGGCAGAGGGAGACAGAATGGGCCACTCAGCGGGCAGGTGCAGGAGCAGATGGCAGGCAGGCAAAGGAAGTGTTAAAAGGAAAGGAGACCAAGGGAAAGAGAAACAAAAACAGCCCATTAATTCTCAAAGGAAAAAGGGGGGCAGGCTCCAGGAAAGTCTGTGCTGAGGTAGGGCCTGACGCCCGGACCTCCCCGCCTCTCAGCTACAAATGTCCTCTCCCAAAAGAGGCAGGACCAATCGGCAGCTGCTGACCAGTGAGTCCATCATGCATACAACAGCTCAGGTGTCCACATGGGCAGGCAGGTACACAGACCCCGGGCCAGCAAAGGAACCCTCATACTGGGGACCCCGACCCCCTGTGGAGCCCAGTCTGGAGCGACACTCACCCGTTGGCTCACCACCATGGGCCCGGCATCACACGAGGCCTTGTGCGTGCACAGGTGCTGCCAGACGCACCAGTTACACTCCCAGCGGCTGCTCACACAGGCCTGGCACCTGCAAGAGCACAGCCGTTGGGCAGGAGGCAGCCACAGGGTATCCCAGGGTCTGGGGGTCAGGGTGAGGAACTCACTGCGCAGACGGAGAGAGCTCGCTGACAGCCATACAGTCATAGAAGGAGAGGGAGGCCTTGACAATCACCACAGTGCCAAACCTGAGCTCCACAATCACAGAGATGTGGTCTGCAAAGGGGACAGGGGGTGGGGCTGAGGAATGGGGTAGGGCACTCAGACCCAGGGGCAGCACCCCATGACCACAGAGAGCAGTCACATCCCACACACGGAGAGGGAGTCCAGGGTTAGGGAACACAGTTCACAGGGCACACCCTGGTGACTTTTGGGGCTGGGATTAGTATGGGCTCCTCCAAGAAGGGAAACACCTCAGGCAGGGTTCTTTGCCTGGACTCAAACCTCATCCCAACCATACCCCTTGGAGTAAGACAGGAGTAAGGTGGGACTCCCAGGCACCTTCTCTCACCCACCGGCTCCTCTTGGCACTGCTGGGGCCTCACTAGGGTCCGGGGAGAGGCACATCACCCCAGAACCGGTCAGCAGGGCTGGACTCTGGTGCTCCCCAAAGTGGCAGGAGTAGGACTCCCCCAGCTGTAAGGGTGGCAGGTCTGGCACTGACAGGAATATCTGCCAAGAGAGCCCAGAACACGATGTTGGGCATTGGGTAGAGGTCCAGGGCTCATGAGGATGGGACAACCACAGTAAGCAGGCTCTGCGGCCACCAGACCCCAGACCTTCACAAACGCTTCTGGGGCTTGGGTTAGTAACAAAAGGAAAAATCAAGGTCCCAGAACAAGTGACTTACGTAACAATGTGTGATACATGGTGATTCTGACACCAAAATTCAAGCTCTCTACCCACCACCAGAGCCCTCCCTGCCCTGCCCTGCCCTGCCCTGGGCACTCACCTCTTTCCTCTCCTCACGGCTGATGTTGGTGGGACTCATGGTTGACACTCGCAGACAGACTGGTTCAGGCTGGAAACTCCACAACCACCGCTCTGGGCCTTGACCTCTCGAGCACTCAGAATGGCGGCTGCACCTGAGGGAGAATGGCCAGAGTCCACCCACTAGGAGTTCACAGGGTAGGACCTACAACCCCCAATGCTGTCATGGAGACTGGGGCATGACAATCAGTCTTCTGCAAGGCCCTGATGCTTAGGGTGGAAAATGGGGAGGTTGAGAGTCAAGGGCCAAGGATCCCAAATCCTAGACAGGGTAATTCGGCAAGAGCGTTAAAGGCAATAAGCTTGGTTGGGGCTAGAGACAGGGAAGGAGACAGGGGCCAGGTAGGTGAAGCACTGACCGGCCAAGGAGCACACACCACCCACAGTATGGATCCCTCTGGGCAAGGCAAGATGCACAGTCCAGGTGCTGGGCACAGGAAGCCACAGGAACTTTGAGAAGCTGTGACAACAAAGACGACCTGAGGGCACTGTGCCAATAGCAGCAGCTGACCCACATGTGGGGCCCCGTCCCCGTCCAGAGGCCTCTTCCAGGCACCCCTCCCTCTCAGCAGCCATGTCCCAACTCTAGCCTGGCACTCACTGTGCTCTGGGTCATGACATACAGATGCTCAAAGGCTCCATCAAAGGTCAGATCTCTGCTCACCGCAGATCCCCGCTGGATGCTCTGCGTGGAGTATGGGTGGCCATCGCTGCCCGGGCCCAAGTAAACCTGAGATTAGAGATCATAAGGAACGGGGTCCAAGTCCAAGAACATAGGACTTGGGCTCAGGACCCTCCCTAATGAAGCAATGTGCAGACAGAATTTCCCCCTGGCCAATCACTGTCCAGACTTGGAGAACAAGTCACAGAAAAACATCTCTGGTAATCTTACTGCTAATCAGCAGTTCAAAACTACCAGCTGTTTCGTGGGAGAAAGCTGAGGCTTTCTGCTCCCGTAAAGATTTACAGCCTCAGAAACCCTGAACAGGGTCGCTATGAATCAGAACCAACTTCATAGCACATAACAACAGTCCTGGGAACACAGGTCACTAACTCCCAGCCCTTGGGTTGGGGAAGAAAATGTCATAGGTCACAACAACCAGCCTTGGGAGGGGTGTGAGATAAACATCACTCAGTCCTGGCATGAGGACCACAGGTCCAGTCAAGGGTAAGGGAAGAATGTCGTAAGTCACACATCTCAGCCCCAAGGGCTACAGGGATAACTCTCCCCAAGCTAGGTCGTCCTCCAGACCTTGGGAGAAGGGGCCCAGCGCTTCCTGTGGACTCACCCTGTGCAGCTGCCCTTGACTGTCACCCAGGAAAGCGATAGTGTGTCCATCCTCCATGGTGACCGCCACGGCTGTTAGCTGAACCCCTGGCCACTCCAGCACTGGTGTGGCTTCCAGTGGGATTCGGCTGGCCATGGGGCTGGGGGTGTGGTCTGAACCACAGGGATAGGCATCAAGAGTGTCCTGCAGGTAACAAGAAGCAACAGTAATGCCCTGCCCTGAATGACTTCTCCTGCCCCATCCTCCTGGGACAACCTCATCCCTCCTCTATCTCTTTGGCACCCCCCCCCCCTCCCGTACATCCTCAACACTGCCCTGGGCTCTCTGCTAGCCATTCTTAACACTCTGCCCCTAGATAACAATACCCTTAGCCACATCCTTAGTCTAACTTCAGCAGATTTATCTCCAACTGCCCTGGAGAGATTCTGTTGGCCCCTCCGCCTCTTTTGATTCCTGCTCTGTCTGTATCCTCACTTTCTCCCATCCCTGGCCTGGCTGCTGTTCCATCCATTTTATCTGCTCAGCCTTCTCCTGGACCACTTCAAAGCTTTTCACAGCTTATACTCTCATCTCCAAATCTACCCATGCATGCCCCTTCGCCCCTCTTATTGAAGCGAGCCTGCATCTTCTCCCCTTTTCTATCCAACCTCACCTTCCTCTATCGCTCAAGAATTCACAGTAAGTCTCATCTTCCCAATAGTTAAGGTCTCTGCCCCATATTCTTGAACACCCTTTCAGTTTACCTTTTACCCACACAAATGCCACACCTTTACCATCTGGTCCAAGTCCATCTCTGCATTGCTCTGACTACCTGAATGCCACTCTTGTATTAAGGCACCTCTCCACCACTCAGACACAAAGGACACTCTTAACATGTGTCAACCTGACCACCCTTGACCCCATCAGCCTCCCTCAGGCTCCAGGGACAGCTGAATACCTGGTCAGTACCTCAGAGACAGGGAAAGGACAGGGCAGTGCTGGAACTCACCACAGGCAGCTGTGCACAGTCGGAATTGACATCATACTCAATGTAGGCCACCTCGGCTCCATCCTCAGTGCGGCCCTCTCGGGTGTAGCAAGCATCTCGCGTGCGATTGGCAAGCCGATCCACCTCATCCAGGGGGAAGGCACAGAGGGCAGAGGCTCCAGAGGCCCCAGCAGCTGCCGATGGGGGTCGGCCCACAGCAGGCGGAGCAGCAGAAGAGAAGGCTACAAAAAGTACCTCGCCATGGGCCACCTCCCCGGACCTGGCCACGGCCGCAGCCTGAACCAACCCGTACCGACCACCCTGGCAAGCCAGGGGCAACTCCACATAGGAGTAGTAATGCTGGTCCCGGAGGCATACACGGGACACGTAAGCACGGAAGGCTCGAGATTGAGCCTGCAAGTCCCGCCGCAGGAACAAGAAGTAGGCACTGGCCCCATGTGCAAAAGCGCTCACGAAGTGGTGGCTGTATTCAGACAGGCGGCCCACTGCCAGCTTGGCTGTCTCCTCGTACGAGAAGGCAGCCTGGGGGTCCAATGGCCACAGGGCCCGGGTCGTGATGGGTGGGATTCCACCCCCTACGCCCCTACTGGTGTAGCCCCGTCCTACAAATAGGAGAGGATCCCCAGCCAGGCCCTGGGCCACCAGCCCTACCGTGCTGACCACAGGGTCGTTAGCAGCTACATACTGGGTGTCCCCCGGCCGCTCCAGCCGAAGCAACAGCTGCCCAAGCTGCCCAAGGCGTCGCTGTTCACAGACCCCCTGGTGCACACTCCCGCACACCACCAGGGCCCCTGGGCTCACCAGGAGCAGCTGGTTTGGGTTGTTAGTAGGCTGGGCCTGTGGACACTCGTCAGGCATCACGGGTGGCAGACAGTCTCTGCTGTCAAGCACAGGGCCAGTGGACACTGTGGCCTCCAGCTGCAGCCCTGGGCTCAGCTGGAATAGGAAGTTGGTGGCCCCAAGGTAGAGGGTGCCTGAGGTGGGGTCTCTTGCCAAGTGCTGCAGCTGTGTGCCGTTGGGAGTGAAGGCAGCCGGGGGTGGGGGCTGGAGGGCAAGGACCCACCCAGCCCAGAGCATCTGGAGAAGAGCTGGGCCGACTGCAGGCATGGTCACCTGGCAGAGAGAGAGGTTCAGCAGGACTCATGTGGCCATCGGAGGAATAGGGTTATGGGCACTGGGGGCACTGGCCTAGCCAAGATGCTCCTCTTACCTAGGGGAGGTCCACAGCATACACTGCAGGGGGTCAGAAGCAGGAGCCTTTCCCTACAAAGTCCATAACTGCCCCTTCTCTGCAAACACCATTCTGTCAGGGGACATGCAACCTACCCTACTCCATGCTACCAGAGGATCAGACGGAGAGGGGCTAGGGGCGCACAGACTTGGGAAATACCCCATCCCCAAGGGCCAGGGCCTAAAGCAGACAGGAGAGCAGGGTGGTGGGAAGGAAAGCCTAGACTACATGGAGATGAGGTTCCCTCTGCACGGATGCTGGTTTTCTGAACAGGAAGAGGGAAGGATCCTCATGAACCCCCATGTCAGGGCTGGACAGGAGTTAGGTGTAGGGGAAGGGCCTTTTAGAATAGCAGTCCAGACCTAAGCAACCACAGAGATGAGGGAGCCTAAGACTGGCTCGGGACCTGAATGGGACACTACTATGGAAAGCATCCCAGCCTGGGTGGGAATCACGCTCCTCGCAGGTGTGAGGTCAGGCTCACCTGGCAGGACCGGCTGGGTCAGGAGACAACATGACCTGTGTGAGAGTCACCTGGACAGGAAGAAAACAGAGCATGAGCTGGGGGTTGGGTTGCAAACATGTAGGAGTTTTGGGCATTCCACTGTGGAGGCAACACAAAGATACCGCTCCCTGCTGCCCAGTCTGCTGGTGGAGCGGGGCCCAGCCTGGCTGTCCGCCACCAAACACATTCCACAGGGGACGCCTCCTCGGAGCCCACATGGGGAGGGGAAGGGCAGCGGAACCAGGCACCCCAGGGGCCTGGGAAAGGGCAGCTAAGAAGGAGCACCATGGTTGGCAGGGACCAGTCAGGCCCCCAGCACAGTGCCCTCCCCTCCCCCTTTCCCTGCATGGCCCCTTCATCTCAGTATTCTCCCAATCCTACCCTCTGCCCAAACTCCACCCATCAAGGCAGCAGCCCTCCACACAGGCTAAAGGCTGTCCCAGCCCAACCACTACCAGCACAGACGCAGATGCACATCCTCAGCACTCACACACACCACACACCGGTGCTTCCACTCACATGGATGTGCAGCTGCAGCCTGTACGCACACCAGAGACACATCTATAGAAACACAGACATACACACCACTCACATTTAAATACCTGCACTAAGACGTATCACACACACACATACTACACACACCACACACAGGTACACGTCAGACACTCACCAAAGACATAAAATCAACATTAGACACCCACACATAGAGAAACACTCACATCTCCCTGGTTCAAGCCCCAAGGCCCAGAGGATTATGGAAGCCAGGCCAGCCCTTGCCATTTCCTCTCTTGCAGGTCAGAGCAGAGCCAGGGCCCACGGCACAGGGTAAGTGGTGGGGAAGGGTGGAGGGGGAGGCCATGCCTGACCATGCCCACCTCCCCAGGACCTCCCAGACCCAGGTGTCACAGACCCTTCCTTGCAGGCCCCAGCTGAATCTCCAGACCAAGAAATCACAGCCACAGCTCCTTGCCCAGCCCCCCGCAGCCTGTAGCCAGGAGCCCCAAGGTTGGTGAAGTGGTGCCACAGGCCATGCATACCAGGCCACAAGACTTTCTACCTGCCTGTGTCCAGGCCACACTGTCCAGCCCCTTCCACCACCCAGCTGCCAGGTGTCCATGCAGGCTGTCCTGAGAGCTTTCCTCCGCCCAGGTCAATTCATCCCTGCGAGGGAGGCCGTGGTGAGGTTGCTCCTAAGGCTGTCTCAGGGCAGGGCTGGGCTCCGGAGGAGGGTCTAGCAGCCTGCTGAGAGCAGGGGAGCCATGACCACAGCCTGGTGAAGCAGGGGGGCCATGGCCACAGCCCGGCTGGGCACTGCTCCCAAAATAGCTTGGGGGTTTCCATTTTTAGTGTGCAAAGAACAGGGCAGCTCTATGGGAGCAGGAACAAGGCCGTCTCTGTTTGCCACCAAGGGGGGGGGGCAGACGGGGGGGAGACAGGAGAGTTGCAAACCCAGAAGTCCAGGGCTGTGGCAAGACCAGGCTACCCAGGAGCCCCCCACCTAGTTTCCAAGGAATGAAATGAAAGGAAGAAGTTTCTCCCTCTGGGCCAAGGCCAACTTCTACACTCAGTTCCTGCCTACTCCCTCCTGCCACCTCAGGCCCAGGGATGTGCCTGGCGCAGAGGGTCCCTGTAGTTAGACCAACTTCACTCCTTCATTAGCGTACAAACATTTGCTCAGTGCCTACCAAGTGCCAGGGTTCTCCAGTCCTCAAGGAGCAGTGACCAAGCCACTCCCGAAAAGTAAAAGCACAACTGGGCCAAAAGGCCCATGGGAAAAGGATGAGGTGGGATGAGAACAGCTCCTGGTAAGGTCACATAGGAGGTCAAGGACTGGCCCACCCTGACCTGCTCCAGAGAAGGCTATCAGGTTTCTTCAAGTACCCCTCACCCTTTCTCACATATCATGTGAGGCAGTGCGCAGGAGAAGAGGAGCAAAAGACAGGCAGTGGCATTTTCTCCTCCAGGTTGGGCATTATGCCATAGTATATCACTTAAACTCTGCCAGAGGTCACAGAACAGCCCCAGCTCCTCCTAACGACCCCTACCCCTTGCCACCTTGCAGGCTCTTCCTGGCTAAGCAAGGACCTTTGGGGCATCTCTAGGCCTGAGGGATAAAGGTCAAACGTCTTTATCCCCAGCCCACCCATGCCATCACTCCCCCACACATGCTCTTCGTTCCTGAACTACAGACCTTCCACTCCTCCATGACTTTACACAGACTGTTCCAACTCTAGGGAATCCCCACTCCCCTTCATCCCATTAACTCCTACACCCAACCAGCCTATCCTAGGGAGACATCACTGTCCTCCCAGGCTCCAGAGGAAGGAGCTCAGAGTAGTGGATGGATTAGACAGACCCAGTGAGTACTGCAGCTCTACCAGGGGCTCTGAGTCTGAATTTCCATTTGTGGAATGGAAGGCAGGGCTTCTCTGACCATTAAACCTGGAACTAGCAGACCCCAACCAAGGCCACTTTTCTCATTTCACCCTCCCACTCTGGACTTGATCCTTTGACAGCAGGGAGTGTGGCTTTGGATTCAGAGGCTCTAGAAACGAAAACAGACACTGATACAGAGCAGGTGTTCCTTGCATGTTATAAGAATTCCAATTCCACAGCCCAGAAAATCCAGTTGGTTGGGTAGATACAGGATGCCTAACCCTCACCAAGCCACTTGACCTCTCGAAGGGCAAGGAATCAAACTCATTTTTCTTCTTGACCAGGCCAAAGCAGACTGAAAGGAATGTTTTGGGAACCAGGCGTCATGTCCCTCACTTGCACAGCCAGAATCTCTGCCCATTCCCCAGGTCTCAGGCTCCGCCCTGATTCAAAGCCAAAGTCAAAACTCTACCTGTGCCTTGGCCTGCCCTGTGATCTCTTCTGGGGTCTCTCTCAGAGCCTGAAGCCACCTAACTTGATCAGCTAAGAGCAAGCACCTTCCAGGTCACCAACAACTGAAAGAACTAACCAACTCCGCCCTTCCACAGAAAGAAGAACCGTACTTCAGTCCACGTTTGCAATGTCTCCGGAGTTAGTGGGAAACTGGCCTTCCTCTCTGCCCTAATGCTCCGCTCCCAGGATCCACCAAATAGGCGAGTTATTCATTGACAGTGCAACGGTGCACATCACTTGCCCAGGTTTCCGTGTTAAGGTGGGATGGGGAGATCCACCATTCACCAACCACGTGCCCACGATGGCCTAAGGAGCGCTTATCTATCACCCACCGTCTGTGTCTGTGTTTGTGTAGGGAGAGGGGAGTCCCCCTTGCGGGTGGACGGCTGGAGGATCGTGGTCCGCCTTTGTCAGCCCGGCCGAGACCAGTCTGGAAGGGCTGTTATTACAAGTGAAAGCCTCGACCGTCCCATTTGGCTCTTCCCCGAACCTTCTCCCTCGCCCCCGGGGCCAGGAAGCAAGGACACCACGAGTGGTCCTGGGAGGGCGGGGAAGGGGCTGTCCGGTCCCCAGCGCGGCGTCGAGGAGGGGGCTCGGAGGAGCAGCTCCACCTCCTCTGTCTCCCAATCGCATTACAGGCGGAGTCGCCAGAGTTTCCTTTCTCGCCGAGAAGTGTGGTCCCAACTCTCAGGATCTAAGCCGTCCACCAATCACCCGGCAGAGATGGGACCTCGAGCCCTTCCACCTGGGGGATGCCCGCCTCACCCCGGTGTGCCACCTCGGCCCCGCACTCACCGCCCAGCCCGGCCTGCTGGATGCGTGCGCCAAGGAGGCGCCGGCTGCTCCCGGCTTCGGGATCTGCGCGCGGCGGCCTCGCCCCCCGCCCCCCTCGGAGGTGGGTCCGGCGGAGCCGCAGCTGTTACCCGGAGACCGAGGGGCGGAAAACTGCGCCCGCTGCCCGCCCCTCCCGCCGAGGCGCTGCCACCGCCGGGAACAAAGGAAACAAAGCCGCGTCGGCCGGGCAGGCTCCGCTCCTTCCCCCCCACCGCGACCGCCGGGGGCCGCCCTCCCTCCCCCCTCCACCCGGGCCAGGCCGGAAGCAGCCGGGCGCGCGGCCCCGAACCACCCGGGACCCCGCATTCCAATCCCCCGGGATCCGCACTTGCCGGGGATGGGGGTGGGGGCCGCAACCCCTCCAACATGTGGGGGGTGGCGCGCAGGCTGTGCGGCGGCGGTAGTCATGGCAACGCAGATCCGCGAAGGGGGGGGGAGGTACGGGATCTAAAGTGGCCCCGCCCCGCCCCGCGGGGCCTCACCTGCGCGATGGGCAGGAACCGGAATTGGGAGCCCTCAGGGTTGGGAACGGCAAGAGGGAAGAGGGTCGTCCGCTGCGCCCCCAGGTGTTGATGGTACAGTGTCTCAGCCTATTTCCGCCCTTCCTGCCGGAGGTCAGACCCGTGCCCCTCACCTGCTGGGCCTGTTCACCTGCCACCATCCCACCCTGCCCAGCGCCTCGAGCTTTCTTTTCTTTCCAATACCTGGCTTCTTGGTCGTCCTCCCAACTTCCTCTATCTTAACGTTTAGGTGCTTTGATTCTTCCCTCCTCACCTCGTCTTGCCCACTGCCCCTTTTCCCAAGACTCCCCAGCAGCCAACCCTTCCTTCCGGCCCCCACCTCTGACGGTGCTGGAAGATCCCGGGCTTTGGGGTTGGGCCTGGGTTTGCGCCACCACTAAGCCTAGTAACCTGACCCCCAAGCTTATTTACTCACCGGCAAATGGGGGTAATGCCACGCCTAACCAGACTGTTAAGAGGAGGGCACCTAGGCCGCAGAGGTGCCCAACAAAGGAGCATTTCCTTCCCTTCTTCCCAGGTCTGTACCTGAACCTTTTCCAGAAAGTGGCAGTGGACCCACCCCAAACTGAGAGGCCTTGGGCAACTCTGTACTCCCACTGCAAAACATCTGGGCCTTCGCTGGAGGGAAGGCTGGGAGGCAGAGTTCTCACCTCAAGGCCCAGTTGTGCCCTCTGCAGGGCCCTTTACATGTTGGCATACCCACTGTACTCTTGAGCCAGTACTTGCCCTATTCTTTCAGGACTTACCTAGAACTTTGGCTCTTGTGCATTGAGGCAAAATCCATCACGTTCACAGAATAGGGTATGCCTACTACTGGTATGGTGCTGTGGGTTAATGCGCTGGACTGCAAAGTCGGTTTGAACTGCAAGGTCTGCAGTTCAAACTCACCAGCCGCTCCTTGGAAACCCTATTCAGGGTCGCTGTAGATCAGAACCAACTCCACAGCCATTCACATTGCAGTACTGGTATGGTGCTGTAGGATAAGCAATGGACTGCTAACTGCAAGGTCGGCAGTTCAAACCTACCAGCTGTTCCTCAGAAACCCTATACAGGGTCACCATGAGTCAACTCACTTGTTGTTGTTGTTGTTGTTAAGTGCCTTCGAGTCAGTTCCGACCCATAGCGACCCTCTACAGGGTTTCCAAGGCTGTAAATCTTTACGGGAGTAGAAAGCCTCATCTTTCTCCCACGAGTCAACTCACTAGATGGCACTTAACACCACATTGGCTACTGCCCAACAAGGTAACACCACAGATACCTTCTTCCCACCACCCACCCCCATATCAAGGGGCCTTGTTTTATCCAAACGCTCCCTCCCTGACCTCTCAAGTTGCCCCTTTACCGCTAGCCCCACTTCCATCTCCAAGGTCAGGAGCTCAGTATATCTACACCGGCATCATGCTCTCTTCCCCAGATCCAACCCTGGCCTCTGGCCTCAGAAATCCCTGGTGCCTGCCAACATGACGTTCCAAGGCCTCACCCCCACTTCAACTGGATTTGTTTGGCTACCATTCCTCAACTACTTTAGCTTCCCTCCCTCTGCAGCTTGTAGGGGCTTCTTACCATGTTTCTAGAAATGTCCCCCTGCCCCCAAGTCCATTCATTCAAATATACACCCTTCAGGACTGTCACCCCACAGGGAGACCTGGGGCTTCTAAACCCCACAGCCTTCATTGATATGTTGGCTCCTGTGAACATGCCAAATTCTGTGGTCATTTCATCCCACACCATTGCTCTGAACTGCAAAGTCATTTGAACTGCAAGGTCGGCAGTTCAAGCTCACCAGCCGCTCCTTGGAAACTCTATACAGTGTCACTATGGGTCAGAACTGACTTGATGGCACTTAACAACTACTATCAGAAAACTGTCAAGGAGGAGTGACTAAGGGACAAAGGTACTCAGAGGCTTAGAACACCATAAGGCCATCTGGGACATGATCACTGGCTCAACCTGAACACAGGTTCCAGGAGGGGAGGGCACCTTATGGAATATACCTCTAGCTTTGACCTAGGTGAATGAGCCCCTATCCACAGTTTCTGTGTACCCTGAAGGAGCTTCCATGTACCAAACCCACAGGTCCTTCAATACACTGTTCCTGTTTACTCAAAGGCACACACGGCCACCCATGGCCATTTAGCCCAGAAGGTCAAGGGTTGAAGTTCCTCTCTGAAAAGGGAGAGGTCAGGGATTCTCAGAGTGAGTTATTTCCATGCCCCTTCTACATTGCTGGTGGGCTGAGCTGTAAAGGCCACCCCCAGGCTGTATGTGAAAGTTTACCCCAACTTCAATGGCATACTGGTGCTGCCCAAAGCACTCTCTGCCCCATGGACTCAGATTAGCCATCACGCTCTGTAATTGTTTCCAGAGACACTTACCAATCATTCTCTCAATCCCTCTTCCCCAGTCTCTGATCATTACTCTAGAATAAAAGCCCATTGCTGGTCAGGTGACTCTGACTCAGAGAAGCCCCTCAGGACTGAGTAGAACTGGCTGTCATCTTTATGAAGCAGTTACATCTTTCTCCCACATTGACTAGTGGAGTTGAACTGCCAGCTCTTCCATTAGCAGTCCAGTGCTAAGCTACTGTGCCACCAGGATGCCTTCCTCCAGCATCATTATGACTCATGACCCTGTATGGAATTTTCCAGAGCAGCTGGTAGGCTTGAACTGCTGACCTTGTGATTACCAGTCCGGTGCTTATCCTACAGTGCCACATCAGGAGTCTCCTCCAGCATTAGAACCCCCAATAGCAGTGAAAATGACCCAGAAAAGGGACATAATCAAGGGCAGAATACCCAGTGAGCAAGGGGCCCGTGGGCTTATTTGTGTTTACTTACTATAGGAGCTCTGGTAGCGTAATGGTTACGAATCGGGCTGCGAACCTTAAGGTCAGCGGTTCGAAACTACCAGCCGCTCCGCGGGAGAAAGGAGGCTTTCTACTCCCGTAAAGATTTACACCCTCGGAAACCCTGTACAGGGGCGCTATGAGTCGGACCCGACTCGATGGCACTTAACAACAACAGTACACAGTAGGGGAGCAGCAGGCTTGTTGTTAGGTGCTGTGGAGTCAATTCCATCTCATAGCACCTTATATACAACAGATCAGAACACTACCCGGGCCTGCACCATCCTCACAATTGTTCGGTTTGAGATCATTGTTGCTGCCACTGTACCAATCCATCTTGTTGGGGGTCTTCTTTCTCACTGACCTTCCACTTTACCTCGTATCTCCTTCTCCAAGGACTGGTGCCACCTGACATGTTCAAAGTATAAGAAAGTCTCGCCATCCTGGCTTCCAGGAGCTTTCTGGTTATATTTATTCCAACACATATTTGTTTGTTCTAGCAGTCCGTAGTATTTATAATATTCTCCAAAACCATAACTCAAATTCATCAGTTCTTCCATGGTCTTCCTTATTCACTGTCCAACTTTCATTTGCATATGAGGCTACTGAAAATACCATGAGTTGGGTCAGGTGCACCTTAGTTTTCAAACTAACATCTTCTTGAACATTTTAAATAGGTCTTGTGCAGATAATGCAATACGTTGTTTGATTTCTTGACTGTTCCATGAATGTTGATGGTGGATCCAAGCAAAATGAAGTCTTTTACAACTTCAATCTTTTCTCCATTTATCATGTTTTTATCTAATGCTCTGGTGGTGAGGATTTTTGTTTTCTGTACATTGAGGTACAACCCATACCGAAGGCTGTGGTCTTTGATAGTATTTTAAGTCCTATTAGTTTCCATCAAGCAAGATTGTGTCATCTATATATCACAGGTTGTTATTAAGTCTACCTCCAATCCTGATGCCAGCTTCCCAGATTATTTGCTCACCATACAGAATGAGTAAGTATGGTGACAGAAGCGAACACAGGCACATACCTTTCTGGATTTTGATTTTACACCATTCAGTGCCCCCTTGTTCTGTCTGAACGACTAATTCTTGGTCTGAGTATAAATCCTCATGAGCATGATTAAGTGTTCTGGAAAACTCATACTCCTCAGTGTGGTCCATAGCTTTTTATGGACAGAGTCAAAAGCCTCTTCATTGTCAATAAAGCACAAATAAACATCTTTCTGGTATTCTCTCAGTCAAGATCCATCTGATGTTAGCAGCAGGCTATCAGGTATTCTCCTAATTAGAATACCCAGGCTATCTGACACAGGAAGGTCAGGCCAGGAAATCCAAAACAAAAACCCAAGCCCAAGGGGTGAGTACATAAAGAACAGTTCAAAAGAGGGCTAGATCAAGAGAGATGAAGTGGAGAAAGGACCCTAACTCCAAGCCCAACTCACAAATCACAGACCCCAATTTTCAATGGACAAATAATGTAAACTAAAAAATAATTTAATTAGACATCAATAAAAATTTTTAATGATGAATATCAATGAGCATTACCTAAAGGGCAAAGTCTATCTGGGGGATACTCAGATGAGTCACAATGATGGTGCCCATATCCAAAGCTCACTATATCTACACCTAACCCCTCAGCCCCGCTGGAGAAGGATCCAGGGACTAGCTGGCCCTGAAGAGCATGTAGAACACAGGAAGCGTGGCCACAAGCGTCACACAGGTGACCAGCGTGCTGTAGATGGTGTTCCTGTTCCCCTGGGCTTCCAGCCTCTGCTCCATGTCTGACAGCGCCAAGATCATGCTCCCCTGCTCCAGCCAAGAGCTGGGTGGAGCTCGATCTGCCTGTTCAACAAGGCTTGGCTGTGCTGCCACCTTTGCAAGCTGAACCACCCCAGCCATTTGGCTGCAAGTCTTTTCTAGACCGTCAAGCTGCTCTCGTAAACCCTGGAGACATGAATGGACCTGTCTGGAATGGCTAAGCTGTTCTTTCAATGCAGCTGAAAGGACATCTGTGCCTTTGACTTGAGTGCGGGAAGTACCTGTCTGGGATTTAGAGCTCTGCTCTGGCCCAGCATATACCAGGTCCCTCAGGTCCACCATGAGGTCATGGAGGTCCCTCTGCTGGAGGGAGTAGCTGGACGCCTGCTCTCGGATGGCCTCCTGGAGGCTCACAGGCCCCTTCTGGGCCTCCAGAAGTAAGGCCTTCAACTCCTGTAGCCGTATTCGGTTCACATAGGAGGAGCCGGCCACCCCAATCAGAGCCCCCAAGACTGATCCAATGAGGGACCAGTTCTTAGTCCTCTCAGCCCGAGTGCGTTCCTTCTCATGACTTTCCCGCACAGCTGCAGAGAAGAGGGCAAATTTCTCTCGTTCAGAGTCTTCTGCACGCAGATAGGCCGTTCGAAGCCTCTTCTCTTCCTGTAGAAACAAAGCTGTGTGAGATGGCCGTAACAGAGCCCACTAACTACAGTCAATCAACAGATGCCCTGCTACCATGTCCCTGGGGCGTAGACACATGCCTGGTACAGAGTACATGCTCCATCAACTATGTAGATGGAATGAAGGATGCATAAACCTGGTTGGGTGAGGGAAGCAAAGGAACAGGGGCAGTCTAGGTGACCTCACTATCCTCTCACCCAAGCCATCTTGGGTTTGACCAGACATGTGCTAGTATTTACAGATCGTGTCTATATGGGCCAGCCCCGTCACGGAGCTCCTTGCACTCTAGGTACTGGACTATACTGCTCTGGACTGTTGGTCACAGTGTTCCAGGAAGAAGCAAGTGGACAGGTCCAAAAAGCCTGGGGTCCTATTCCTCAGCAGGAACTTCTGGTTCAAGTCTTCACCTGGCCTTTGCCCTCCAGACCAGTCAGAGTCCCCAGCTCCCCTTCTCCATGACCTACCAAGCAAGGGTCTCTATTCTGGTGGGAAGGGCTGCCACCAGTGGTGCCTACCTGCAGCATCTTGTGCTCCAGAGTAGCCAATTCCAGATACTGACTGTCCTCCCTGGAGACTCGGTCCAAGTGATCCCGTACTTCCTTCAGCTTGGTCTGCTGAACTTCCAAGTCTCCCTGAGCCTCCCGGACAAGCCCACGAGCCACCATGAACACTTTCTCTGCCTGCCAAGAGAACAGCAGAAGCCATCTTCTCCATACACCTAAAAGGTTCTGCTCCAGTCTCGACAAGACTGTGCCTTAGAGTAGAGAGAGTCCCTGAGACACCAATCCTGACTCTCTGGAGGTGTTCAGAGTACAGCCTTGAGCCATGCTCATCAAAATCACTGGATTTATCCATTCAAGTAGAAATAATGTGCCCCTGAGAAACTTGGAAAATAGCTAAGAATGCACGCAACCTGTGTACACCAAGCACAGCCAGCCAACTCCTCTCCCGTCCGACACAAACCACAGTAAGGAACCTAAGTGCTTGTGCTGCTTCCTGTACCCTCAAAACAACAGCATGAGAGGCAATGCTTCAGTCTCCAGGTTACAAAAAAGTCTCCAAGGACAGAATCTTTGCCTCAGAGCCTCTAGCTGCAGCCCAGACTCATCCTATCTCATTATACTGATTTGCAAGCCTATGCAAGTACAGGCCGGTGATGGCAGAATGCATTACCACTTCCATCAGGGGCTTGACAACTACAGGCAGCTCTGCCCTCTTCAGAGACTGAGTTTCCCAGTGGCCGCTAGTTTCACAGGGATGTTTTAATTACACACAGGCTCTGACATAGCAAACCCCTGCGTAACTATCACCACCAATTCCCCAGTCACTGAAGGGTTTGATGGCCTAAGAGAATAGATGTTAATGGTCAGGAATTTATCAGACCACAACAGCTGCCTCCAGGGAGGGTGGGGGTACAGTTACACCCAAGTCCTTCACCCTAGTAGTCTCCAACCCCGGTTTCCAAATGCAAGATGAGTCAGATGTTTCTACCAGTGGTGGTGTTTCAAAAAAAGGCAAGTCTAGATGTGGTTTCTCAGCCACACGTGGCTAGTGATGTATTTGGTGGGTGCATACAGGCAGCATTTACCAACTCAGGAGGCAGGGTCAACCACCAGACTCCCCTCCTCACCTCAGTCACATTTCCCTGGGCCTCTCGAACCTCGTTGAGTCCAACAAATTCTTCATATCTGTCCCAGCAAGACTTGGCTGTGGAGGCCACATGTAGCTGAATACTGTGCCCCAGGGCTCTTCCCAGCGCTGTGAGGCGGTGATACAGCCCAAAGTCCACCTTCTCAGGTCTTTTCTCTCTGGGCTGGCTGGGTCCTGAGCTACAGAGAGCCCTGGTCATAAAGAGGTCCGTTCCAAGGAGGCTTCTCGGTACGTGGACATGGGGCACACCCACGATGTGCTCCACAGCAAACACAGAGCTGCGCCCTCTCATCAGGAGATCTGTGAGGGCGACACCAGACAGATCAGCACACAGCTGAGAAAAACTGTGGATATAAGTCAGGTCTCAAGGTCTAGGGACAGCTCTGAATCAATTAATTTCCATTAAAATCATCTAAACGGAGCTGCACTTAGTTGGCCCAGAAACGAAAGGTCCCCACAGCAGGAGGGTAGTCAGGTATGCCCCTAGGTGCTCTTGGAAAAAGGAACACATGAGGGGAAGGACAGAATTAAAAAATCATGCCTTGGGCTTTCTTCCATGAGGCCACAGAAACTAAACCCTTCCCCCCACCCGCCTCCCTACATTCCTCAGGTCACTGTTATGACTTGGATGAATTCTGCTGCTTGGTTTTCTGATAACATCAAGAGAAAAGTTCTCAACTCTGAGTTGTGTCCATGCAGACAAAGCCCCCACAAAGATTCATAATGCTCCCAGTAAAGTTACGGGACAAAGGGGATTTCCAGTGTCTTTTCTGGGGGAAAAAAAAAACAACACAAAAAAACTCAAAATCAACTTCCCAGACTCCTTAGGAGCTGTCTCTGTATTAGGGAAGCAGAGTTTTGCTCACATACAAGGGCAGAGGTCACTCTGTCCCAAAGCAGAGAACTCTCAGCTCTTCTCTAAGAGGACAATTCCAAGAAAAACATCCATCTTCACAGACAACTTTCCTTAGTGAACTTTCTTCTGGTCTCCTACCCAAGCGTTTCCAGACTACCGACTCCCAGGCTCACATTTCTCATCTTCCCTAAGCTTTCTCCCTCCTCCCTTACCTTAGTCACTGCTCAACAGGTTAGGTTTCTTTAATCTTTTCCTTTTTAACCCTGCTTTGATGTTTGGTTCCTAACAACACCGACTACTCCAGGGGTGAAGTGCACAGGAGCCTCCCATTACCCACAGTCAGGCTTGGCCCAAACCCAATAGCAGTCCTCTGAAGACCCCAAAATGGGGGCCAGGTGACTCATCAATTCTGGCAAAACTAAGCCAGCAAGCACCCTTCTCTGACTAATTCACAGTCCAAGGCCACCCCCTCCCACACCCCGCCTCCAAGTGCAGACTCCTTCTGTCAGAGCGACACCTGGTGGCTGACTGACAGGTTATAGAAAAAAGCAGAAGGAGCTGGGGGCACAGACGGGAGGAGTTCCGGTTACAAAACAGAAAGGGCTCCCACAGGTAAGGTAAGAGCACCCCAGGCTCCTCCCCTTCTAGCCTTGTTGGGAGCTATCTTTGGAGTAGCTCATACCCCCTTGAAATCACAGCCAGATGAGTCAGAACATGCCTCCTAAACAAAGTAGGTCTGACCTGGGAGGCCTGGAGGAGGCACCCCAGTGACAGTGGTTCCAAGCTGGTGCCACATGTGGACCCCTAGCCCCCATTCATAGGCTTGAGACAATTGCCCAGGAGAGCACACACCAGAGCGGGCAAGACTCCTGGGCCTCAAAACCAGCGCCCACTGCCCACAGGCTGTTACCCTACAACAACCTTGTAGGAACACCGTCATCAAAGCACAACACTCACCTCAGCCACCCCTGTGCCCACAGCACGCACCACCTTCCAAGCATAGCTCAGCAGAAAAACATTCACTTGGCATTCACCACTTCCTTACCTGCTTCTTCCTTGATCTCCCTCCACTCTGGATTCCTCCCCACTCCAGAGGCTGCTCCTCCCGAGGCCCCTCAAAACCTCTACCTTGTCAGATCCAGCAGGTGCTTCTCAGATTTCTGCAGCTCTCAACACTCTCCTGAAAACACTGCTCCCTCTCGGCTGCCTCCAGCCTTCTCAGCCAGTGTCCCTCTTCCTTCACCAGCTGCTAACCCTTGGACCCCAGGAAGGTAATCCATTCAGGTAGAGGCCACATCAAACAGGGGCCTAAGGGCCATGTTCAGAATCTTAGGCCTCACAAACCCACTTTTCCACTCCATCTTAAACAGCTGTCTCTTACAAATGCCTTTTCCTCAAACCTCCATCATCTATACTCCGACCTCACTTGCAGCTGATAGCTTGCTTCAATTTTACCAAGAAAATGTAAAATATAAGAACATCCGTATCTTCTCACCCGTCAACACCTGTCCCATTCCCTCTGCCTTCTCTCTTGTTCCTCTGGATGAAATTCCATGCTCCTTACAAAGGCCTCCTCTCCACCTATGCCTAAGGTTCCAGGTCCTCTTCCCCCGGTTCACATTGCTCAGTAATTGACCAACAGCTCTTCTCCAATAGCCACCGCATTTCTCTATTCCTTTATAAAGCCTAGCTCTGTACTCACCATCTCCAGTTCCTCTACCTCCTTTCTCTTATCTGCCATATGTGGTCATTCCCTCTTCCTTGAATCACTTGGTTTCCAGGCCTCACCCACCTCTCTGACCTCTGACCACAGCTGGGTCCTCACTCTGCTCTAACTACAAGAACCTTCTTTATGTTACTGGAACACACTAGACTACCTCCACTTCAGGGCCTTCACACCAGCTAGCTGAATACTGTCTACAAAACTTTTTCCCTCTTCAAGTTCTGCTCAAACGTCACCTCCTAGGAAGGCCTTCCCGGACCACTCTGTAAGAAATCACCATCTCACACCCACATCAGCACTCCTTCCCTCCTCTCCCCGCTTTACTTTTCTCGGAATGTATCACACGGCCTGCAATATGGGATTCACTTATTTATTTTGTTGTCGGTCTCACCCACTAGAATGTCAGCTCTGGCAGTGCAGTCACTTTGTTTTGCTGTATTCTCAGTACCTACAGTATTATGTGACTATAGTAGAGAACTCAATTTAAAAAATCAATAAAAAAACAAAGAATTTGCAGTCAAATCCCTGATGTATTATAAAACCCAAAAATCCTTCATCCCTGCTCTCCGACTACAAGATCCATGCCCCGCCCACTTCTGCTACCTCCCTTTCCATCCCCACCATCCAAATTGCGCATCCCTGAGTTCTAGGAACGCGCCGAGTTTGTTCCAGTCTCAAGGCCTTTGCAGGTGCCCTTCCCTCTACCTGCAACGCTCTTCCCGTGCACAGTCACAGGCCTGGCGACTCCTGGCTAAAACCCCTTCTCGGGGTTCCAGGCCCTCCCCAGGCTCGACGACCCTGCCCCCTCAATTTACTCTCGGTGTGCGCTTTGCGGAAGTCGCAACGCCAATCCAGCGTCCACCACTCAATGACCTCTGACCCTTAGAGCCCGCCCCCATAAAGCCGTTTCCGGTAGTGAGAGGCAACTTCCTGACTAATAACCAATCAGCAGACAGAGTGGCGTTGGGGGTCGGAGCGCTGCTTTCGGTGGCAGGTCTGGGGAAGGGGCGGCAGGCGCCATGTCGGGCCGCGAAGGTGAGTTCACGCGAAAGGAGAGGATGAACGAGACTTTCGAGGAAGATCTGAGCTTGAGTGTGCGGGGCGGGCGATGGGGCCTGGCTGAGCGTGTTTGTGTCGCCCACAGGTGGCAAGAAGAAGCCCCTGAAACAACCCAAAAAACAGAACAAGGAAATGGACGAGGTGAGGATGGGCGCGGAGGCGTGAGGACGAGGTGAGGCGGTCACGAAGGGAAGGGGTGGACGGCCGGCAGTGAACCTGCTCTACCCTTTTCTAGGAAGATAAGGCTTTCAAGCAGAAACAAAAAGAAGAGCAGAAGAAACTTGAAGAGCTAAAAGCGAAGGCTGCGGGGAAGGGCCCCCTGGGTAAGTGAGGTTCTAATGGAGGCTGACAAACTCCCCAGTCACGTTTAGGGTCGCGGGCCTGGGCAGGTGACCTGCCCACTGAGAGAGGCAAACACTTGTCAGTTTTGGATTCCTAGCAAATGGGAGGGGCAGGAGGCAGAACCGGGTCGGGAAAGGAGTGCTCCAGCCTCCCAAGATGCCCCAGCTTCCATTCTGTAGGAAAGTTGCCGAAATGGCAACACAGAATCCTTTTTCTGTAGACACGCGTTCATTCTGGTTTGAGTTTACCACGTGCTTTCAATGCTCTCCTCCCATAAATTCACGTTTCATTATCTCTTTATTGCATACAGTAGCTTAGAGAACTTTTTGACTTGAGGCAAAAAGATGTGGTAGTCGCTTCTGTAAATACTTAAAGTTCTGCTCTGACCTGTAGATCCTCTGACAGCAGTGGATTTGGGTTTTCGTGACTCTGTAGGATCAGAACTGAAATGCAAACCACAAGGTCCCTCAGTTCAAGCCCACCCGCTGCTCCTCAGAAACCCTGTACAAGGTCGCAGAGTCAGAACCGATTCGACTGCACTTAACAATAGGGCTAAGCACTGGACTGGTAACCGCAAGGTCAGCGGTTCAAACCCACCCTCTGCCCTTGGGAAGTCTATGCAGAGTCAGTGTGACTCAGAATCGACTCAACAGCACACAGAGTTCTATGTTATCTCTAATAAATACATCTGGGCTAAGTTTTGTCATTTCTGCATGTGTCTGGACTAAAGGATGAAGTCCTGGCTATTCAAAGGCCTGCAAATATCAAACTTCATATGCTTCCTCTTTTCCTTTATTTAAGGGAAGAAGGATTGATTACATTTCAAAAACCTTTCAGGCCTTACTGTGTTTCTTAAACACTGTTTACATTCTTCAAATTAGTGAAGGACGGATTTACTAAGCCTTTATGGTTCACCCATGTAGTGCTTAGATTCTAGCTGTTGAAATTCACTTTGGGAATTGCAGTTGTTCTTGTTAAGTGCCCTAGAGCCGATTCTGACACATAGCGGCCCTATATAGGGTTTCCGAGGCTGTAAATCTTTTCAGGAGCAGAAGGCCTTATCTTTCTCCCACGGAACCATTGGTAGTTTCGAACTGCTGACCTTGAGGTTCACAGCCCGATTCGTAACCACTACACTACCAGAGCTCCTCGGGAATTGCAGTAAAAATTGCAGTGAAATCCAGAACCTGTGTAAGGTGAAAATCTGTCAGAAAAGGAAGGGTCCTATATTTTCTGCTAATAGAAAAGTAGTAAGAGTACATATACCCTGTCAAAGAAAACTTGAAAGACCCAGAAAAGCAAGGTGGCCCTGTTGGGTCCTGACTCTCACAGGTTTCGTTGTATATGAGATAACGTACACCTTTCCTTATCAGTGGTTTTGTATGTTGTTATTGTTAAGTACCTTGGAGTAGGTTCTGACTCATAGTGACCCTGCACAGGGTTTCCGAGGCTGTAAATCTTTGTGGGAGCAGAATGCCTCATATTTATCCTGCGGAACCGCTGGTAGTTTTGAACTGCCGACCTTGTGGTTAGCAGCCCAATTCGTAACTACTACACTACCAGAGCTCCTTTGTATAGGGAGAATATAAATCATAACTGGAACTATATACTACTGTTTATTAAGCATTATCTAATTTGGGGTTTGTTTTCTGAGAATGTGTCCAAGATGTTCTTTACCATTTTGTTATTCTTTAGGTGAAAGTTTGTAGAATAAATTCATTTACCATTAAATACTTAATACACAAATTGTTCTCTGGCATTGGTTACAGTCTCTAAGTGCATCTCCCATTTTCACCCAGGGTTCCCATTTCCATTCATCTGGTTTTCCTAACCCTTCCCTTTTGGAACACATGTTGCAGTTTTGGTCTCATATAGTAGAGTTTTCTAAAGAGCACATTCCTCGCAGATGTTACTGCTTATTTTATAGGCTTGTCTACATCAGTCATATCCAGGAGTGGCTTCAGTTCTAGATTAGAAGGATGCCATAGCACTAGAGTCTCAGGGGGTTTTCTAGTTTCTATCAGACCACTAAGTCTGGTCATTTTTATGAATTTGTATTGTGTTCTATATTTTTTTTCACATTCTAACCAGGATCTACTTATATGATGATCAGAGTGATTGGTGATGGTAGCCAGACACCATCTATTTCTTCTGGTCTCAGGCTAGTTTTGTGTTTGCCGTTAGTCCTTTGGACATATTGCTTCCTTGAGTCTTTGGTTTGCTTTGCTTTGTTTTGTTCTAGACTGGACAAGATCAATAGTTGTATTTTAGATGGCCACTTGCAAATTTTTAAGACCCCAGACACTATCCTCGAACTTTGTAATTGACCTAGATATCCTTTTTGTTTTAAGGTTTATCAGATGTCTTTTGGATTTTCAGTCTTGTGTCCTTGTTAAGTGTCATCGAGTAGGTTACAACCCATAACGACCCTGTGTAGGGTTTCTGAGGAGTGGCTAATGAGCTTGAGCCACCAACCTTGCGGTTCAAATCGACTTTACTATCTGACTTTACTATTCGTTACATTAACCCACAGCCCCACACCAGGACTCCAGTCTTGTGTTGGGTATCCCTAATTCTACAATTGTTCCTTAAATCACCTACTGTGTGCCAGACATTTTTATCATTTGTAAACTGGATTTTAAAATAAAAGATTGAGTAAGCCAGACCCCAGGGTCATAATACAGAAGGCGGTATAGTATGGTATAGTATATATAGAACTTAGGAATATGGACTTGAAAGTTGGTTGGAATCCTGGCTCCATCACATATGAGCTATGACCTTGAACCAACACCTAACTCTTAAGACTTCATTTCTGTATCTGTAAAATGGGTTGACAAGACATGAGGATTAAATGAATAATTCTGTGGGAATACACAGTATAGATCCAGGTCAGTGCACACCCATTGCATATGTCCCATTTCGTCCTCATCCCACCTTTGCATACATTAGTCAATATTGGTAAAGCCATTGATGTTATTAAGTGCCATTGATCCGTTTCCGACCCATAGCAACCCTGTATAGGGTTTTCAAGGAGCAGCGGGTGAGTTTGAACCACCGACCTTGCAGTTCAAACGACTTTGCAGTCTGACATGTCTTTGTCAAAGAGAATGCCCAGTATGAATTTCATCAGGAACCACATCAAGTGCTCATCCTAACTTTTTTTTTTTTTTTTTCTCTCTCTCCTTTTGCAGCCACAGGTGGAATTAAGAAATCTGGCAAAAAATAAGCTATTCTTTGTGGCCGTGGCGATGGTGACCCTTGATTGCATTTCTGCTTTAAACATTTGAATTCCCTGCTAGAACATCTCTTGTCACCTATAGTTAGATTGAAGTGTTGTCTTGGAGCCTGTTGTACATTAAAGAATAAACTTTAGAAAAAAAAAAAAAAGAAGAAAAGAAATCCATCTCTCTCGTCCTGTCTTAACTGTGTGGTCAGTAAACCCAGGCCAGAATCCTGCCAGAGCTGCTCTTCAATCTTTGTTATGCCCAGAATTCTGTACCACCTGGAATTAAAGCAACTCATTTGAAACAGCTGTTGTTCCTTTGTATTGTGCCACGTGGAATACCTTGCATGAGGTTACTAAGAGTGTATGTGCTTTGGAAAGAAAACTTAACCCCTCTTTTTCAGTTGGACATCCATGTGGTTTGATGAGTTGTTTTGAGGAGCAAACCCCAGCTCCTGCTCTTACAGAACTTCTCTATTGTGCTAGCAGGAGTGGCATAAATACATATGTGCAATGTGAAGAAAAATGGAAAGAAAGATGCAGAGATTTCTCAAAGTTGAAGAACCAAATTTTCCCATAAGCTCCTTAGACTGCACTCCACTAGGGCTTCAGAAACTGCCCAGCTGGGTTCCCACATCTCAAACCCCATATTCAGTTCATCTTCCATCCAATACCACCCTCCTACCCACCACCATTCTAACATAATCCCTCAAACGGATTATTGCAGTCACATCCAATTGTGTCTTCCTACATTGACCCTTGCCCCCTGCACTCTAATCTTCACTTGCACCAGAGTGGTTATGCTGAAGCATAATTCAGACTTTGTCGTTTCTTGACTGAAGTTGTTAAGTGCCATCCAGTTGGTTCTGACTCAATGACCCTGTATGGGGTTTCCAAGGAGCAACTGGTGGATTTGAACTGCCAACCTTGTGGTTAACTGTGCTTATCCTACAGTATCACATCAGGACTCTAGTAAAAGCCAAAGTCCTTATAATAGCCAATTAGGCCCCAAGTGATCAGGACCCCACATCATTTCCTGTGATTGCTGCTTGTCTGATTCATTTTCTCCCAGCACCAGTGTCTTATGTTCCAGGCAAACTCTTCAGTGGCTTTGTTATACTCTTCACCTAGATACCAGAGGCTCCCTTACCAGTTAGAGAACCACCAAACTTGAAGTTTGTAGACCAGTGCTTAGCCACAAACCATAAAGTTGGTTTCAGCCTACTAGCCGCTCCAAGGGAAAATAAGCTTTCTGCTCTGACAAGATATACTGCCTCAGAAACCCTATATAGGGTTACTATGAGTCAGAAGTGACTCCACAGCACTTAACAACAGTGTCTTTTACCCTGTTTTATTTCTCCTAATGGTGGTTTATCTACCATCTGATTATGAGTTGAGAGGAGAGAGGTCATTTCATTTACTGAATCACTTGATTCAGAGGGAGGCACAAGTCTTTGGATTTCCCCTCCAGGCCCTTGATATAACTATGGGGAAAATGTTCGAATTTCTCTGGAAATTTTTCAAAAGGACCCTAGAATTCTGAGATTTTTTCCAAGACTGGAAAATATTTCACCTATTTTATGGCTGTAATGGTACTTGATATTAACCCAAAAATGAGCCTGCTTTGATCCTCTTCAAGAAAGTTGCACAACCAGCAGCACTTTCTCTGGGCTTTAGGCCTTCCCTGTTGGGCCTTGCTTACTGTACCCAATTCAACTTGCACTGAACACACATGAATGAAGAGTTGCCACTGTTGTTCTTAAACTCCAAACCTGTTTCAACTAAGTGCCCTACCACCACTGTAGCCCAAGAAAACCCAATCCAAGCCCACCTCTAATTCTGACTCCTGTGTGGCCTCCATTTAGTGTTTAATCATCTCTAAGTACCCTTCTTTGCTAGTCATAAGGTTTTCAGTGACTAAATATTCAGAAGTAGTTCGTCATTCCTAGTCTGTCTTCATCTGGAAGCCCATCTGAAACCTGTCCACCATCGGTGATCCTGCTGGTATTTAAAATACCAGTGACATAGTTTCCAGAATCACAGCAACTCACAAGCCACCACAGTATGACAAACTGACAGACTTCATTCTTGGATCAACTATCAACACTCATGAAAGCTGCAGTCAAGGAATCAAACGACGTATTGCATTAGGCAAAGCTGCTGCACAAGACCTTTTTAAAGTGTTGAAAAGCAAAGGTGTCAGCTTGAAGACTAAGGTGCACCTGACCCAAGCCATGGTATTTTCAATAACCTCATATGCATACAAAAGCTGGACCGTGAATAAGGAAGACTAAAAGAACTGATGCTTTTGAGTTATGGTGTTAGAGGAGAATATTGAAAGTGTCATGGGCTGCCAAAAGAACCAATACATCTGTGTTGGAAGAAGTGCAAATGAAGTGCTCCTTGGAGGCCAGGATGACCAAACTTTGTCTCTCATACTTTGGACACATTGTCAGGAGGGACCAGTCGCTGGAGAAGGAAATCATGTTTGGTAAGGTGGAGGGTCAGGGAAAAAGAGGATGACACACAACAAGATGGGTTGGCCAAGTGGCAGCATTGATGCCTGGCAACAACAGTGAGATTGGCCCAGGATCAGGGAGTGTTTCGTTCTGCTGTGCATAAAGTTGCTAAGAGTCGGTACTGACTAGATAGCACCTAACTGAAACCTTTATCTAGCTCTTAATCATCCTGTAGGAGCTCTGGTATAGCATAGTGGTTACGAATTGGGCTGTGAACCGCAAGGTCAGCAGTTCGAAACTACCAGCTGTTCCGCAGGAGAAAGATGAGGCTTTCTGGTCCCGTAAAGATTTACAGCCTCGGAAACCCTGCACAGGGTCGCTATGAGTCGGAACCGACTCCTCGGCACTTAACAACAAACATCCTGTAGGTTAGCCCCAGGTGCCACTTACAAGGAGCCTTCCTTGATCTTAAGAGCCTCGTTCATCTATAGATCTTCATCTATAGAAGACCATGTTTGGGGGTCAAAAAAAAATCCTCTATCCATCCCAGAGGAATGAAGGTACAAATGTTAACCTGAGCAGTTTTCACTCCCTAACAGACACACCCTTCTCAGCATCACCACTTCTTAGAGCCTCTCTCCAGACCTACTTCAACTGCGCACATTTTAAACAGTTCCTGTCTTCACAACAGCTCTATTCTTGCTCCTCGCCTAATCTCGCTCTCCCACCCTCATTCCTAAAACGGTCCCTGGGTGAGTCTAGCAGGAGGACAGCAAGGTACATAGACTAGACATGCTGCCAGCCTCGATTCATAAGCACACATGAAAATCAAGGCGAACTCCTCTTCCGCTTCCGTAGACCCCATGGGGTACCAGGGCGGGAGCTTAGCGCTTTCCGAGTAGGGGCTGGTGTGCCTTGCACCTGCATCGCATTTAACTGGGGTCGTGCTGCCCCTGGTCCTTGCGGTAGACCTACCTCCCTGGTGCTGGACTGTACGCTTCCGGAGACACTGGGCTAGAAGGGGAAGGGCGTGAACTAGTTAGAAGGACCAAGGCTACTTGAAGAAGGCGGGCCATGACTAGGAGGGGCTGGGACTCGGCTGAGCGCAGCGGCGCGCTAAAATGCTGTCATTCTTTCGCGTCCGTTAGCTGGCAGCTAATTGGCCTATGGTCTCGGGGGCGGGGCGTCAGCGGCTGAGGCGAACTGAGGCGCGCGAGCGGTTGGCTCAGCAGCCCCGCCTCCCAGCCTCTCGGACAACTGGCAGGTTGCGGATCCTCGGAGACTCTGGGCCGGCGGGAAGCATGGCTGGAACCCTCATGCCGGGCAGCAGGAGGAGGAGCGGGCCCCCGGCGCCTGGTCCTGGGCCACCGCCTGGCGCCGGGCACCCCCCGAACAAGCGGGCCCGGGGCTTTCCTGCCGCCGCCCCGGAGACCGAAGATCCATTCGGCGAGCATGGGGATTTCACCGCCGACGACCTGGAAGAGCTCGACATCCTTGCGTCACAGGCCCTGAGCCAATGCCCGGCCACGACTCGGGACGCCTTCAGTGAGTGCTCCTCGGGGCCTTTTCCCCTCTGGGTAGTGACAACCCCTGATGACCGCGCCATCAGAACCTATGGCGACTGCAGCCCAGCCGGGGTCTCTTGCTCCCATACTGTTAATTCACTTTTTTAAAAAATAGGAAAACCCCGATTTAAGCAGAGCTTGTCTTCCAAAATATCCTTTCATTTAAAGGAGAACTGTGTCAGGAATGTCAAAACAGCTGATTTTAAATAGAGAAAACCAGAACCGTTACTACCAACCCGCCCATTCTTTTGGGCAGGTTTGGAAAGCTTTGGCTCTTAAAAAGTCCACTGTCTCTCGTTGGTCTCTGGCAGAGGAGAGAGGATTGTGCTAGGAGTCCAAATATTAGGGACTGCAGTGGTCCCAGCAATGAATAAAGGTCAAAGACCCGTTCCTCGTGGAGCTTGCATTGTAACTGGGGAATGAGGGAAGTCTTGCAGGGCTCCCAGGAAGAGAGGGGCTTGAAGGGCACCTTGCATCTCTACTGGATGTCTCACGGGCTTCTTAAACTCCACTCACACAGTACCTGGCAAAGCAAACATTGAGGAAACGTTCAGTGACAAAATGTTCCACGTGAAATTACTGGCACCACGCTTCATTGAGTCATGCAAGGTGGCTCAACCCTCCTAGTTCCTTTCCCTATCCTATTACCTTTATTTACTAAATCCATCTTTGGACTCTTAACTGCTTCCTACCATCCCACCCTTTCTATCATCTCTCCCTAGGAGAGCAGTTGGCTAAACACCCCCCTTTTCCTGCAAGTCATAACTTCACACCACAGCCAGACTAATCTTTCCAAAACAGATCTGGCTGTGTCTAACACAGTTGCATATACGTCTGCACTCACACAACATCCCTGCTGAAAGCCCTTTGATGACTTCTCGCTCCTTCTAGATTCAAGACCAAAATCCTTAACCTGACCTGCCAAGCCCGACAATACTCCAGTCCTCCATGCACTCTCTGGGTTCCAGCCATACTGACCTTCCTTTGTTGTTAAGTGCCGTCAAGTGGGGTTTCTGAGGAGTGGCTGGTGAGAGGTTGAACTGTTGACTTTTCAGTCCAATGCTGATCCTTCAGTGCCACACCAGGGCCCCAACCTACCTTTAGCCTTAGTATTTTCTCTGCTTCCTCATTGCACAGTCCCTTTGCACATTGCTGTTTCTTATACATTGGGTGTTCTTCCCATGCATCCATTCCCCATCCACAGTCATGTAGTGTAGGAAAAGTGACTTTGAAGCCTTAACCCTTACATCTGTAAATATGAGCTTGTTTGCAAAGAAGGGTTTTCTTTTTGTTAAATAACGATGTCATACCAGAGTTGAGTGAGTCCTAAGCCTAAAACCTCTGAGTGGTATTTTATAAACAGAGCCAAATACACACAGTCACAACAGGGAAAAGACACCAGGTGAGGAATCATCTGCAAGCCAATGAACACCTAGGCTACCAACAAGGAAGGCTCCTCTCCTAGAATTGATGCCCTGATTTGGAATTCTAGCCTCCACAACTGATTTCTTTAAAGCCACCTACCCGTATCTGTGTTGCTGGTATGGCAGCACAAGGAAAGTAAGACACTGGGTTAAGTCCTGCTTGTTCTTTAGCTCTCAGTCGGTCATTGTGTCCTTAGAAGCCATGGCAATCATTTCATTTGAGTCAGATCCTCCCATTAAAGGTTCTCTCGAGTTTGTTCTCTTCGGCAGCTCCTATCAGTTATATTTTACATCTGTTTGTGTGATTATTTGTAAGTATCATGTGAGTTTGAATGATGTGCTAAGAATGAAAAACACCTATATCAACTAATATTTCTATAATTTGTTTCTAAGAGTGATTCTTTTCAGCATTGTCTGGCAAAAGTGGGGTAGTGTTGGGTCCTGACATGTACATGAGAACTGTTTTTTACAGGTGTTCATAAGGTCCCCAGAATAGACGATATGTCAAAAAATAAAAATCCTGCAGGAAAAATCAAAGAAAGTGTGCCAGTTAAAGATAATTTTGAATTAGAGGTACTTCAGGCACAATACAAAGAACTTAAAGAAAAGGTAAGTGATTTTGACATACCCTTACTCTAGCCAATTCATTCACTTATTCATACATTATAAAGCACCATACAATAAAACATATAAAAGGGCCATAGTCATCAACTAAAGGATGAAATGAGAGAAAGCTAGGAAAAGAAGGCCAGACGATTTAGAGTGAAATAAACTAAATCCTTAGATTCCTACCAGCCAAGACAAGAAAGGAAACACTGTATACTACTTCCAAAAAGATAAGCAAACTTTCTCTTACTGCAGTGAGATAAATTGATAGCATATATCTTTATATGATGAGTACAGCATCATAGTGGTTGCTGTTTTCATTAGTAGCTTTACAAGAAAGCAGTCACCTTCATATATGATCACTTTTCTCTAGGTCTCTAGGGAAACCAGAAATATAGGAGGGGGCTTCAAAACAGTCATGGGAAAATTCTATTATCTATTGATTCCATTTTTCCATGAACTTTTTGAAACCCCCCTCATAATGAGGTATTTAAATTCTGTGACGTATGTGGTCCAGATAGTTTCTCAGAGCCAAAAGAATATGTGTGTGTGTGTAAGCCAGAGCTGTCCTGTTGAGTATCAGCAGTCCCATAAGCAAATTTAGCAGACCATGGTGAAGTCTGGTTGAAACAGATATATTTTGAACACTCATTGATTTGTAGGACATTTTTCTGTGCTTTCTCCCTCTCCTCAGCTACATGTTAAAAAAAAAACCCAAAACTGAAACCAGTTACTGTCAAGTTGATTCTAAGTTGTAGGAACCCCTTGTATGTCAGAGCAGATCTGTGCTCCATGGGTTACTAGCTGCCTTTTTAGAAGCAGACCACCTGACCTGTCTACTGAGGAGTCTACTGCTAGGTGGACTCCAACCGCCGACCTTTCGGTTGGCAACTGAATGCAACACTTCAACCATCTGCACCACCTAGGAACTCCTTGCATGTTAAAATAAGTACGTGTGTAACTTTCCCTTACATTTTTCACAAGATTGATTTGGGATTTACAGCTGAAAGCAATGGAAGAAGATGCCCTCATTAAAAATGGAGAGATTAAAATTTTGCGAGACTCATTGCATCAAACAGAATCCATTATAGAGGAACAGAAGAGATCGCATTTCCTTCTTGAGCAAGAAAAAGCTCAAGCACTGAATGAGAAAGAAAAGGAATTCTCCAAAAAGGTGACCCAGAATATTTGTTTTGCTTTGCGTGCTCACTGAATTCCTTTAGAAGCAATAACCAAAGTTGGCTGTAAGTTTTCCAGGGAAATTTCATTCATCAATTGTTTAAGTTCTTTGTGCTATCAGCAACTTGCCATGCACTTTTCTTCCAGGTTCTATATGTGGTTTGGGAAAGGACTGAGATGAAACTATGATTTGCTTTGGCAGCTGGTCTTCGCAAAAGTAAATTGCCAGCTTATGATTTTGAGAAGTAGGTTTAAGTTAGGACTCCTTTGGTAGATCAGGGACTCAGTTGAGCTAAGTTAAGCCCAAAAGAAATACATTAACATCCACAATCAAGTCTGAGAAAAGCACAATTGTGGTAGGACTTTGAATGACTCACCTTTGTTCTCTACACTATAGATAGGCTTTACCCTTGTGGTAGGTTTTAAAATTCTGGGGAAAGCTCTGATCAGTCTACTATGTCAGTTACCTGCCCTTGGACCACTCTCTGTAACCATAAAGATGGCAACTCTCACTCAGTTCACATAGTCAGATGTAGGAAATTGAGTGTTGCTCAGTAGGATGCAGGTGGTGGTCTGAGAAGAAAAATAGTAGGTATCAAGTATGTCTGTGTCTCAAGAAGTCTTAGTTTGCTGTTAACTTTATTCAGAAAACTTAATAAACTTTACATAAGCATTGACTTGTGTCTGGCCCTAATAACAGTAATTGATTTTCCATGTAAGTGATGAAGACCCCAGGAATTTGCAGTCAGACAAACCAGAATTTGAATCATCTTCAAGTACAAGTGGTGATCTCAGCTAATGATTTCAACTCCCTGGTTCATTTTCTTTACTGGTTCCTGGAACTAACAGAGATCTGTTGAGAGAATAAAAGCTCTTATACTTACTGTGTCTGGTGCTGTGCCTGGCATGGAGTGTGCTTAGTGAATGATGGCAGTTACCATTGGCTATAGTAGGCCAAAGCATCAGGTCTCCCATACCACACAGGGTGTTGGATAAAGTATTCCAAATACTCTGCCCCCAGACTTGGTAAGAAGACCTGGAATGGTACACCACTACTGTGGTGCGCTGTAGGATAAGCAATGGACCAAAAAAAAGTCAGTGTGAACTCCAAGGTCAGCAGTTCAATCTCACCAGTTGCTTCTCAGAAACCCTATACAGCATTTCTATGAGTCAGAAATGACTCAGCAGCACTTAACAATATCCACTAAGGAGTCCTGGTGTGGCACTGTAGGATAAGCACTGGGCTGCTAACTGTACAGTTGATGGTTCAACCCCACCAGCTGCTCCTCGGAAACCCTATACAGGGTCACTATGAATTAACTGACTTGATGACATCTAACAATAACAACAACACATTTACCAAAAGGTATATCTGTTAACTGTTGAGATAAGTACCTCACCAAATTCTATGCTGACTCAAAAAACAAACTACTGTCATTGAGTAATTTCCAACTCATAGAGACCCTAGAGAGCAGAGCAGAGTTTCTGAGACTTTTGTAAAGGGAGCAGAAAGCCACATCTTTCTCAGAATAACAAGTGGGTTTGAATCACTGACCTGTGGTTAGCAGCCCAATGCTTAACCCTCTGTGCCACCAGGGCTCTTAGCTCTGTACTGGGTGTTTTTTATATATATTATTATTCAACCCCTAACCATGATGAAGATGTTAAGTGCTGTCAAATCAGTTCTCATAGCGACCCTATATAGGGTTTCCGAGGAGCGGCTGTTGTTGTTAAGTGCCGTCGAGTCGGTACCGACCCATAGCGACCCTGTACAGGGTTTCCGAGGGTGTAAATCCTTACGGGAGTAGAAAGCCTCATCTTTCTCCCACGGAGCGGCTGGTAGTTTCGAACCGCTGACCTTAAGGTTCGCAGCCCGATTCGTAACCACTACGCTACCAGTGAGTTTGAACTGCCAACCTTGCAGTCCAGTGCATTAAGTCATACCAGGACTCCGTGATGAAGACAGATATGTTTATGCTACCTGAAATTTAGAGAGGCATTTAACAATAACGACAAAGTAGATAGTGGGGCTGGTATTTTAACCCTCACAAGGTTTCCTCACAATAGTTTAGATTAAAATATCTTTCTAAAGTGCTCTGCTATCTTTCAGAAACAAGACTGAAGTTGGGCATTCCTATTACAGTAGACCTTCATACTTAGTTTCCTTTATTTTTCTTTCTTTATTAGCTTTGAAGCCCAAAGATACTTTTGTATATGTAAGAGGACCACTACAAGTATGTATGTTTCTTTTGCCTTCCAGCTCCAGTCATTGCAGTCAGAACTCCAGTTTAAAGATGCAGAGATGAATGAATTAAGAACGAAGCTTCAAAGCAGTGAACGTGCAAATAAACTGGCTGCTCCCACCATTCCCTACATCAGGTAAGGATGGTGCTGGAGGGAGAGTTCAGTTTTGTATTGCTTAAGAAGCAGACTAATAGTCCTGAATGAAGGCTAGAACTTCTGCCACCTGGGCAGGGATCCTCTTCCCTGAAGGACTCAAAGGCAGTTTGGATGAAGTTTAAATGGTGTGGGGCTTTCATAAAGGTCCAGCACTCAGTAAATGATTCCTGTGGATGGGACTAAATAAACACAGCTCCTTGGAATTATCTGCACTAAACTAAAACAAGTTGGAAATGTTTACCTCAAGCACAAATGCATTTCAATATCAGCTACTTGGAATGTTTTTTCTCAGTTGCCACCCTGGGACCTTTGTCCAAGAACCCATGCCTTTGCTGTTAGATGTGGTCAACTCATTATTGTGGCCTGCCTTCTGTGGTCAGCTGCTAGAGAAATCTAGCACATGGTCATTGTCCCCTTAAAATGTGAACGTATGTTCAAGGCATCTCTCTCTGGTCCTGGACATTCTGCTGTCACCGGGTAAGCCTTTGCTCATGATGAGCAGGATGTAAAATTGAATTCTTGTGTATGTTGTTGTTAAGTGTCTTTGAGTTGGTTCCTACTCACAAGTTACCCCATGTAGAGTTTCTGAGGAGTGACTGATGGGTTTGAACCACTAACCTTGAGGGTAGCAAGTCCCATGCTTATCCTACTACTAGGATAAGCCATACTAGGACTTCTACTTATGCACAGTCTGTGTACAACTCAAGAGCTGAAGGGGGCCAACCCTCATCTCTTCACACATCACTAACAGAAAAGCCTTAGCATTTACATTCAGTGGAATCCTTGGTGTGGCTTACCATAGGATAAGCACTGGACTGCAAAGTAAGTGGTTTAGACTCACCTGTCGCTCCTTGGGAACCCTACACAGATTCACTATGAGTCAGAACGGACTCGATAGCACTTAACAACAAGTTTGCATTGTAGGAAACTCCAGAGTAGAGAATTAAAACTGCCTTTCTACCGTAAAGACTGTGACGCTGAGGAATTTGCTCAGTTCTCAAGTTGCAAAATATAACACACCTTTTTTTCTTTTTTCTTTTTTTTTAATCTATTCTTCCCACACCACACCTATTCTGCTTTGACAACACATTTTCTGATCTTTCTTTTGAAGTTTTTGGATTCAGTCCTTGACTACGAAAAAGAGGTTATTCCATATCAACATGATGTTTTGTGAAGTTAGAAATAGTAGTAGGAATTATGGCTAATATTTTGGGGTTGATTAGAGGAATAGAAAAATAAATGAAAGGCTTTTCCAATAATTTAAATCAGAATGCCTTGAATTGTGTACTGCTATCTTGACAAAAAATGACACCTATATAAAAGGTCAAAACCTTTGGCCAAAAGACAGACATGAGAAGGTTAAAAGCTTGTTATCATAGGTTGTATAACTAGGTATTTTAAGTGGTTCTAGCAGAATCATTACTTTGCTTTCACAGTTAACTTTTTCCAGTCCTAGGAAATGTCCATCCATGGTTATAAAGCCAGAAGCATGCTCTCCACAGTTTGGAAAAACATCTTTCCCTACAAAGGAGTCTTTTAGTGCTAATATGTCCCTTCCTCATCCTTGCCAGACAGAGCCAGGGTCCAAGTCTCTGGTGGGCAGAGAGGGTAAGTCAGTATATTTATTGCTGTGTAACAGATTACTCTAATCTGTAGCTTAAAACCACAGTAATTATGATCTCTCCATTTCTGTGGGTCAGCAATTCTAACAGAGTATAGTGGGGATGGCTTGCTTGTCTCTGCTATGGCTGAACTCAGCGGACTTCAGTGGGGCTGGCAAATTGGTTTTCAAGATGACTCACTCCCATGGATTCTCTCAACTCCTGGGCCCCTCCACAGGGCTACTTGAATGTCCTATAATATGGTGGAAGGCTTCCTTTAGAACGAGCAAATCCAGAGAAAGAGCCAGATGAAAGTTAGCTTTTTTAGGCGCTGGCCCCAGAAGTCACATAGCATCATTTCTGATACTTTTTTGTTGTTGTTGTTGTTGTTGTTAGAATTGAGTCACTCTGTCTGTGCCACAATCAAGAGAAATGAAACTAGACTGCATCTATTGAAGGGCAGTTTATCAAAGAATTTGCAGGTTTATTTTTAAACTTCCACAGTCGGTATCCACTGACCAGGCTAGAAACACAGCTTGTATTCAAGGACGTATGCTCTTTTCAGCCTCCAGTCTGTATAACTCAGTCCACACTGAGGGAATGCTGCTGCTTTTTAGACAAAGTAGATTTTCACACTGAGACTGTGCTCTGCCAATTTCCAGATACATTGCCTCTCTCTCTCATTTTTAAATCACTGGCTGTTTCATCACCTCTGAGAAACTGAAGCCCATTCCCATTTTTGACATCTAGTAATTAAAGAAGCAGTGTTGGGTAATTTCACAGGCAAGTAGAGCCCAGCAGCCTGAATGTAAGTCCCAGTCACACCATTTACTGGCTTGTGTGACTTGTGGCAAGTCCTTTAACATCTGTACCTCAGTAAAATAAGGCTGATGATTGCACCTCTGTGAAAAACAAATGAACTAATATATATAAAACTCTTAGAGCAGTGGCTGGCACACACTAATAAGTACCATACTATGTATTGCATTAAGCAAATTGGCTGCAAAAGACTGTTTGAAACTGTTTAAGAACAAAGATGTCAGTTTGAGGATGAAAGTGCGCCTGACCCAAGCCATAGTGTTTTCAGTTACTTCATATGCATGTGGAAGTTGTACGATGAATAAGGAAGATCAGAGAAGAATCAATGCTTTTGAATTTGGTTTGGATGAAGAATATCACAAGTGCCATGGACTGCCAGCAGAACAAACAAATCTGTCTTGGAAGAAGTACATCAGAATGCTCCTTAGATGAGCCTTTGCCTCTCATTCTTTGGGCATGTTGTCAGGAGGGATCAGTCCTTAGCTTCATGCTTGGTTAAGTGGAGGGTCAGCAAAAAAGAGGAAGCCCTTCAACAGAATGGATTGACACCGTGGCAGAAACAATTGTAAGGACGGCACAGTTGTCTTATTGCCTCATTTTAGAGTGGGGCAAATAATTTTCTTTACCTATATGCAAATTTCTATTTAACTTGAATATGTGAGGCTTCTTGAGCTGTTTTGGCACTTGTTTTTGATCCAGGGTTGAAGAAGTAGATCAATTTAACTTTGTTTTCAGTGTATTACATGTAAAGGGTCTCTAAGAAGTCTGTGCTTTTATGCTCAAGTTTTGATTCACATTTTATCTAGTTCCAGAAAATAAGACCCATAGTCTGGGAGGTGAATCCCTAAATCAAGAGGCCCAGAAAATCCATGTTGACAGCTGGATGCAGAGATCAGACACTCAAGGTACCAGAATCCCTGCTCCAGCTGCATGACTCTGATTGTCAGCTACAAAGGCTGGTTCCACAGTAGCATCATCTGAGGACCTGACTGGGATGCTGAAAACCAGTGCCAGGCACTCATGCAGAGAGTCAAGAGGACTGGTAATCTGTGACCTAAGCAGAAAACTATTTAAGGGTGTGTTTCAAGAGCAGGTGTGTCCCAGAGCCTTCAGGTGTTTCAGTGGGTCCTTAGCTTAGGTGGTAGTTGGCATCTTAAAACCCACTGCCATTGAGTTGATTCCAACTCACAGTGACCCTCTAAGACAGAAAAGACCTGCTCCATAGGGTTTCTGAGACTGTAGATCTCCATGGGAGCCGACTGCTTCATCTTTTTCCCCAAGGAGTGGCCAGAGGGTTTGTGTTGCTGACCTTGCTATAAACCTGATGCTTAATTTACTGCAACACCAAGGCTTCATAATTGGCATCCAAGGAACCCCCTATTTTCCTTCTGAGGCCCTAGAAAAAGGCTCCCTGTCAGAACCTTCTAGAATCACCTTGTTTTCTGCAGGTTCCATTTTGATAAACCTGCTTCTGAAGCAACCTCTGATCCCAGGGTCATCACTAGGTCTATGCCACCTCCTGAGCAGTTCTGAGGCTCCTACTGGCACTCTTTTACAGCCACCAGGGTTTGGCAGGTAAGCATAAGGAAAGGAGTTGCCAGGAAGCAAGCCCCTTTCTGACCCAGGCCAGCTGGGAGGTCTGTGGGCTGGGCTGGGCTGGGAGACCAGTTTGGCAGGGAGGTTGTTTGGGGCCCTTCGTCTTCTCTCCATCCCACACTTGTCTCTTTTCTTTTGTGTTTGTTGCCAGTATCTTGGCTGGGATTTCAGGCCTCAGGACCACAGGTTTGCACGAGGGGTCATTTTCCTTCTCAGCCCTGAGAGAAGCACAAAACCTGGCATTCACTGGACTAAATCTGGTTGCCAGGAGTGAAGGTTCATGCGACCTAGACCCAGCAGAGGGAGGCAGAAAGACCTTTCCACTCTGCCTGCTTCCTGGAGCTGTTCATCTCCTCCCTCTTGTACAGTTCTTCATCGGCTTACACTGCCAGGCTCTGCAGGATTTGGCACTTCCTGGGGACTCGCCAACACATTCCTCATGCGTGAGCTCAGCAGGAGAGGCCTGCCCTGAGGACTCACTCTGCAACCTGGAAGGTTTCTCTGTGGCTTCACTTAGCATCCTTCAGCACCTAGTATGCCACAGCAGAGCAGTTGTCTGCCTACTACTGTCAGGAGTAGGAACTGACACTGTGTCTGGGGAAGAAAACAAGGGCCTGGTTCACAGCCATGGTCCTGGAGAAGTGACCTCAGCCCCAGAGAGGACTGCTGATGACCAAGACCAGCATCCATTAGTGAAGATGCTTCTTCACTTGTTGGCTTTCTCTTCTGTAGCAACAGGTCACCTTCAAGCCAGCATCCTGAGCCACTGCCTTAAGGTTTTGGTGAAATTAGCAGAAAATGCTGCGTTTGACTTGTTGCCCAGGTATAAAGCAGCATGGGAGCCATGGTACTGTGTGAGTCTTACCAAACTTCTGAAGGTCTGTCTTGTGACCCTTGAACTTTGCTCACATCCTTGACTTGTTTACACTACTCAGTTCAGGGAGTACCGAAGTGATGAGATGTGGGGCCAGGTGTTGGGAGAGCCATGGAAGTAGTTTATTTAATTCTGCCTCTGTACAGCAGGTAAGCAGAAGGCACATATGATAAAAGGAAACTGTTAGCGGCCACAAAGAATGCCCTGTACCCCAGGACAGACAAAGGCTGAACCAAGAGGCCTTTAAACCTGGGGCATGGATAAGGTGACAGCCACGCAGCCACAGCCATGTTAAGTTTGGTGTATTCCCTAAGGAAGCAAAGAAAGTAGGGAAGGTCTACAGCCCACAAGCCGACCTGCTGGGAGTCCATGTCATTGTGTCAACTACTGGCATGAGTCAGATTGCTTGCTCCTCTTGAGATTTGTTGGAAATGGTACTAGAGTGAATCCAGCTAATGAGCAGTTCCCAGATTCCTAACTGAGCATTACAGTGTCTCAAGACTGGTAGGAACTGTAAACACCATTCACCCCTCAGAACTCCACTAAGAGGCCAGTGGAAATCTCTACCTGCTAAACACACTTTAAGTCGTCTTGTCTCTGAGTTCAGCATTCCCATTTTCTAAAACACCTCTGGATCCTGGTTTCTATCTGAATAGTTTATTTGGTGGCACTCAGAGCTGGGCAGAGTCCAGAGTGGAGTGAGCGACAGAGTAGGAGGCAGTGCCATCCTCTAGGTGTTCCTGGCAGGGGCCCCACTCATAGGAGCCGGTTGCTTGCTTCATATTTGTTAAACAAATGAATTCCAGAAAGCACATTTTTACCATTTATTTTGGCATATACACCAACATTCCACTTCTAGTAAGCTTGTCCACAGAATATCCAAAAAAGCCATCGAATAGGTGTACTATAGGCCACATGGTCTTACAGATGCCTCCTGACCACTCACAGTTCATGTGATCCCTTCATAGCCGTGTCCTCTCACGTAGCACAGAGTCTAGCTCAGTGTGAGCACTCAGTCATTTGTTGAGTGAAAGGAGAGAAATGTCTGAAGCTCCATAGGGAACACATCAGGTGGGGAGGTGGCTCTCAGGCCAGGTGTTGGTCTCCTGAGCCATTGCCCTTAGGGATCACTGTCTTGTACCACTTCCACTCAGTTATCTTCAGAATTCCTTTATGCTGTACATGCTTAAATTGAACCCCAGTACCTGCAGCTTTCAGTCTGCCTTGGAGTGAAAGCTCAGGGCAGGAGTGCTGTGGAGGCTCAGAACAGTGTGGTGCCATCCAGATACCTGGAAGACTGCAGAATCTTCTATTCCTCAGTAGTCATAAGCTTTAAAGCAAACCATCTCCTCTTAACCTTGTCTTATTCCCTCTGGTAGCTCTAGGGGTCCAGAGTTGTCCCCTGGGGCCTGGGACAGTAGGAGATTCTGAACAAATATGAGGGACTTCAAAAAGTTCATGGAAAAATTCTATTATCTTAATTTCATTTTCCCACTAACTTTTTATAGCCCCCTTTTATTTTATTTTTAAAGGTTATGGTTTTATCAGAAAGTAGGTTGGAAACTACTGTGTTGCATGTACAGGTGGGTTTTCTTGAAGATAAGTTTCAGGGGCCCCCCAGTGAAATCTGGTAACAAAGAGGTTAAATTTCAGTCTCCGTCAGAGCCCCACACTCCCTGGCTAGCAACTGAAGAACATTTTAGTTTCTCTGTGATCTCTAGATTTATTCTTTAAAAGTTCATCCAAAATAGTGCTGTACTAAGGATATTCTAGTGACATACTGAGACTATTCTTGATCCATATTTAGCAATGTTCTCTGTGCTTAAACACCACAGATCATCTATAAAGGGATGCACAGAAAGCCAGACAAAGAATTCCCACCCAGGCTTCCCTCATGGTTCCCCAGGCTATGTGCAGTGAGCAAACAGCATTGATTGCCTTGGGTCTTGGGTCCTTGGTAAAAGTTGTCCCTTTGCCCTTGTGATCTAGGTGAGAGTATGCCTGCAGTCCCTAACCAGTCCACAAACCCACAGGAGATAGGTATCTTCTCACACTTGGCAACGGGAGATGGTTTCTGACAAGTGGAGAAATCCTAGCTCTGACTGGTACAGGGGTCCAGCCATAGCCAAGTTCACATGTGTCATGTTAGAAGCCCTGGCCATTCAGTAAGTGGGCACAGAACATTCCTCACACCAAGTCATGACCTGCATCCCTAATTGGGGGCAGAAGCAAGAAAGAGCCTGGGATCTTAGGTCTAGGGAATCCTGTCAGCTCTGCCTCAGCAGTCCTGTGATGAAGATTAGTACCCATATTGTCACAAGACAAGTTTCATAGCAAGGTTGGTGGTCATCGAGCCAGCATGAGTCAAGGTCTATATGAACATAGTCTCTGCTGGCGCTGTGGGTTAGGCACTGGGCCATTAACTGAAAATCCACCAACTGCTCTGAAAATGATGAGACTGTCTACTACCATCAAGATTTCGTATCAGAAATCCTGTATACAGTCCCTATAAGTCAGAATCAACACAATGGCAATGGGTTTTTGGTTTAATCTGCTTTCTAAGGAGCCATGGCGGTTTAATTGTTTGAGCAATTCGCAGTTAACAAAAGGTTGGCAGCTCAAACCCACCAGTCTTTTCACAGTAGAAAGATGAGGTCATCTACTTCCATAAAGATTTACAGCCTTGGAACCCAATAAGGCAATCCTCTGACCTGTAAGGGTACTATAAGCTAAAATTAACTCAGACAGTGGGTTACCTCTAATGAAGTATGGGTAAATAACCGAGTTAGAATTGGGAGTGTCATGTTTCTGTGGGCCTGTTTGGTTTAGGTTCCATTGTGTGTTCCGGGTGCTGCCACAGTGCCTCAGCCCAGAGACACCCTTACCCAGTGTGCTGCTGACCGTTAAGCTCCTATCCCTCCTGGTGGATCACGAGAAGCTTGCTCCTCAGGTCTGCTCCCACTCAGGTAATGCAGGGCGGGGCAGGTTTGGACTGCTGCAGGCTGTGGCAGGGACAGGGTGTCTGGGTAAGAGGGCACCCTACTGAGTGATGATGGGAAATCCTTTTCAGAAGGCTGCCTCCTCCTGCTGCTGTACATGTACATCACGTCAAGGCCTGACAAAGTGGCCTCGGAAAGACAGTGGCTCCAGCTGGAACAAGAGGTAAAAAGGACTCTGCTGGGACCTCCCAGCCTCCACCCCACCTCACTCCACTCTCAGGGCATGCAGACCTCCCTCATCCTTCCTGGCCGAGGGAAAAGGAGCTTTAACGCATTTTGATGAGTTTATCAAGAACCTAAGGAGGTGAACTTAGTTTGGGAACTCCACACCGCACAGAAAGGATACAGGTATATCCCAGGTGGTCCTGGAACTTAGCAGGGCTGCCTGGTGACTGATATCCTGGGTTTCAGACCCGATAGCCAAAGCAACCTGGAGGCAGGTGGGTTGTTGGTAAACCGACACAAGTGTTGGTTCAGAGTCTGGCCTAGGAAAGCCCACAATCCCAGTTTCAAATCTCATTTGTCCAGATGAGGTCTTTCAGGAGAAGCCAGAGAAGGCCCCAGATATAACTGCGGCCTCTTTCTACTGGAGATGTGACAGTCTTGCTCTTGTTCTAGGTGATATGGCTCCTGGTCAAGCTTGGTATGCAGAGCCCCTCCCCAGTCACTGGCTCCAGCTGCCAGTGCAACGTGGAGGTGAGGGGCCAGGGGCAGGCACTGGCCGACAATGTGGTAACTCTGGGTGGGGAAAGTGACCCTGTACAAGGACTCCATGCCCCAACCCTGGTGTCCATTACTCAGAGCCCTCCTCACCTGGGGTGCTGGGAAAGGTGCTGCCCAGCTGAGTAGCTATTAGTGCACAGGAAGCTGGTTCCCTTGACCTGTCGTCCCCTACCCCCACCCCAGGCGGTGAGAGCACTCACAGTGATGCTACACAGACAGTGGCTGACAGTGCGGAGGGCAGAGGGGCCGCTAAGGACCGATCAGAGGCGGACAGTGCGCTGTCTACGGGACACAGTGCTGCTGCTCTACAGCCTGTCCCAAAAAGACAAGCTCTTCACTGTGCACTGCGTGGAGGTCCTGCATCAGTATGACCAGGTGATGCCAGGTGTCAGCACACTGATCCGAGGGCTCCCGGACGTGACAGACTGTGAAGGTGAGCTGGCAGGGAACCCCAGCTCCCACTTAGCTCATGACTAAGGCTGTCTCAGCCTTTCTGACACGGGGGGGGGGGGGGAGCAGCATTGTCTTCCTGTTCTGGTTCATCTCTGGGCACACTGGGCTGCCTTTTACTCAGATCTGTTGAGTTGGCAGAGCCTTGGTTTTTCCAGAAACGTCCCTGTCTACATAGCCTTTGTATCACTTTGCTTGCTGTGGTTGCAGGAGCAAGGCCCAGGTGTGGAAGGGAGTGGTTAGTTCCTGCGGGTGCCAGGGGAGAAGTGGGACCTCCCCCAGTCCTCAGCACCTTCAGGCTTTCCCCATAGAATCCTCCTCTTTCTGGCTCAGAGGCAGCCCTGGATGACCTCTGTGCTGCAGAGACAGATGTGGATGACACAGAGATGGACTGTACCTGAGGCCTGTAAGCATCCAGCCACACAGTGGAGCCAGTGCATTCTCTTCACTTCATCACCTGATTAAAAGCAGTATCGGGCTGTTCCTGCTGAGAACACACCAGCTTTGGTGGTGTATTTCCTTAGTCTCATCCATGTTGGCTGAGTGGGAGGGACAGCACAGGACCCCAGACCCTGAGGGGAGGGATCCTTCCTGCCATCCCCCAGATGGTAATTCATCTGCCTTGAGGAAGGAGCCCTGCCCTGCTGGTGGAATTGCTGAGTCATTGTTTTGGGCTCGGGTTGTGGGGGAAAGCTGAACTGTGCCAGAGGCCTGGGAGAGAAGACCAAGGCAGAAGGGCTGGGTGGGGCTGGGGATAGTCCTGGAGCTAGCCTCCCCACACACCACACAGCCTGGACACCACGTCCGCCACTGGTGCACTCACTGCACTTAGCACTGCTGGCAACAGCCAGCACTGTGGTGAGGGACCCAGCCCTGAGTGGCTGAGGAAGAGCTGGGCGGGCCTTGCTCACTTGGGCCTATAGGCGGTCTGACTCATGGGTGGGGGAAGGCCTGAGCAGGCCTGGGCTGGGTGCTGTGTTTCACTTCCCGCCACGCTTGGTGTGAAAGTGTCAGCTAGCCAGCCAGCCTGCCGACTGTTTAGTGCCTGGTTTCTGATTACTGCCTGGTTTCGGTGAGTGCAGACCCCCCGGGGAGATAGGGAGGGGGAAAGGCTGAGGGTCCCCCTTCCCAAGTGGGTACCAAGGGAGGAGCCAAACTCATGTGAAGGAGAACCCCCCCAAACATATAAACCTACAGTTAAGAGGAAGTCACTCCACCCCCTGAGGCGGCTTTCTGCCCCCACCCACCCCCACCACTGATCATATTTTCTAGTGGGGGGCACTCACCCCCCACCCATACTCCTCCTCAGGCTCAGCAGCGGATACTAGCCACATCATGGGCTCACAGGCCCCATCTCAGGGTCCCATACAGACTCTCATCTTCTTGGATCTGGAGGCCACTGGCCTGCCCTTCTCCCAGCCCAAGATCACAGAACTCTGCCTGCTGGCCATCCACAGGTGTACTCTCGAAAAGCTCCTAACCCCCCAGGGGCCACCTCCACTGCCCCGCATAGTGGACAAGCTCTCCCTATGTGTGGCTCCAGGGAAGCCCTGCAGCCCTGCGGCCAGCAATATCACAGGCCTGAACACAGCCGCACTGGTAGCAAATGGGCGTGGGTGCTTCAATGCCAACCTGGCCAACCTGCTCCGAGCCTTCCTGCAGCGCCAGCCACAGCCTTGGTGCCTCGTGGCTCACAATGGTGACCGCTACGACTTCCCCCTGCTCCAGGCAGAGCTGACCGCACTGGACCTGGCCAGTGCTCTGGATGACACCTTCTGTGTGGACAGCATTACAGCCCTGAAAGCCCTGGAGCGTGCCAACAGCCCCTGTGAGTGCGGTCCAAGGAAGAGCTACAGCCTGGGGAGCATCTACACACGCCTCTACGGGCAGAGCCCACCAGACTCACACACGGCAGAAGGGGACGTCCTGGCTTTGGTCGGCATCTGTCAGTGGAGGCCACAGGCCCTGCTGCAGTGGGTGGATGCTCATGCCAGGCCCTTCAGCACCGTCAAGCCCATGTACAGACTTAAAGGCACCAGTGGGACCAATCCAGGGCCAGCAGCTGCCATAGCCACTGAGCCCCTCGGCACAGCCAGGAACACTAGTCCCAACCTTGGAGGGCAAAGGAGGCCCACAGGTCATCTTCCCATAGAGAGCCCTGGAACCCCAACCAGGGAGGGGCTGCTACTGGGCCTGCTGGCCTTCCTGACCTTGGCAGTAGCCACATTGTATGGGCTGTCCCTGTCCATGCCTGGACAGTAGGGCCAAGAAAGAGAATCTAATAAAAAAAAAATTTAAAAACCCAACAGCACTGAGTGGTCATTTGCTTGCTTAGGGATGGCAAAGGTGACAAGTTTCTGTATCTCCCCAGCAGGAAGCCTGAGCCCAGTAAAAGTAGAAAAGATCTTTGTCAAAATCACAGAAAATCCAAGTGTTGGATGGAAATGGTACACAGCCTAGTGTACCAACAGCCAAGACTTTTAAGAAAAGAGGGAAGCAATTCCAAATCTTTGCATTTATTATAAACAATGGTAATACCTTAAAACATTTCTCAGAAACACAGCAGCAGAGAGAAAGCTAAGATGTTTCTAGTGAAACAGGACAAGAACACTGAGTGAGTACTGGTGTCTGGGCCTAACAGCTAGCCACAGCCCCACCCACCTTTGGTCCAGCTGCCAGGATGAACTGTGGACTGAGGTGCAAGAAGCTGAGTATTTTGTGGTGCTGAGATCAGATTGCCCCTCAGCATCAGCCATATCTCCCTGCCAAATTCCAGGAGTTTCAGCCTCAGCAACTGTAACATGTTTCGAAACAACATGGGGTAAAATATTTGACTAAAAATAAAAACACTTCAGGGAGGAGACCTGAGTCTGCTGGTGGACAGACATCACTGTCCACTTATGGCAAGGGTTGGGGGTAAGCTAGGGCAAGAAAACTTCCCCAGGGGCAGCCAGAACTGGGGTGGACATAGCCCTCCATGTGGCCCTAGGGAAAGTGCAGGGACAGTCCTGGCAGACAGCTGTCAAGAGCTGAGAATGGTCTGGAATGCACCTGAGGGTTTTGAGATCACTGACCCGCACTGGACTCTGCACAAGCTTCAGGGACCTGTGAGACCTCTGGGATCAAAACCCAGTTCAGCCAGATCCCAATTCCACCTGCCTGACTTCAGCATGTGTCTGACTCTGAAAAGGGCACCCCACACCCAAGGAAGCCATGGCTTTCAGAAGTGGCTGGTCACTGCCAAAACCAGGACACAACTGAACACACTGGCAACGTCCACGGTTCTGGATACATCCTTACCCCCAGAGTGATGCTACCCTAGTACAACAAACCCATCCAGCCTCCCCAAAGTGTTCTAGAAAGAAGTCTTCCCACTCCCACTTTGAAATCTGCATGAGATTTCAGAAAGCACAGTTTAAATTCAAGACAGGATGAGAGCAGAAAGTTAGGTCCCAGCCCACTCTGGCAAGGGGTGGTCCCCACCTCGTCGGCATCAGATAAAGCTACAACAGATAGAGGGAGTACACACATACACACACAAACACACCATGGGACAGCAAAGAACCGTGCCAGCAGAACCATTCATACACACACAACATAGTCACAGTGGCAGCCAGAGACAGGGAGCATGCTCAGGGAACTGCCTTTGGGGGATCCATGTAGGCTGGGTTGTAAGGAGGCTGGCTGGCAGGGTAGGGCATAGCTGCACCTCCTGAAAACAGAGAGGACATGGTTAGCTGTGGGCAAGGCCTTTTCGGTGATGTACTCTGTGATGGACGCCGTGGGAGGCTAAGCCAAGGTACTCACCAGCTAATGTCTCGTGGTAGGCTGGTGGGCCCATGGGCTGGGCTGGGTAGGGTGGTGGATACTGCATCTGGTAAGGTGCTACCGGCATCCCTGGCTGGGAGGGCACAGAATGGTACCCCTGGTATGTCGGTCCAGGATAGCTGGGTGGCACGCTCGGAGGCTGAGGGTAAGGGGTATGCACCACAGTAGTGGCTGTGGTGGTGGTCACAACCGCTGCAAAGAGAATCCCAGTTAGGACCCTCCACCTCCTCAGGCTTTGAGGGCCAGGACTGTTGCCTGCCCTCCAGCTTAGCCAGAGCAGGGCCCTGGTCAACCCTTTCTGCCCCCTCACTCAGGGGTCTGCACTGCACATGGGCTCACTGCAGTATGGGTTGAGGTGGGCATACTTACGACGGGGTCGGCGGCACATCTTGTACAAACAGCAGCAGGAACAAGTGAAGCAGACGATGATGGTGACAATGGAGAGTACAAAGATAGTCAGGCCGATGGCCACGGTCGCCCCAAACCTGCCAGAGAAGCAGTCATGACCAAGGGCAACCCACACCTTATCATCAATAATACCCAAAGTGTAGCTTGAACCCCTTCTTTTAGCCCATTTCTTAAATGTGTAAAGTGGGGTTCTTTGTGAGTATATGTAAAACACCTCACCCAGGATCTGTTCCCCCTTGTTCCCACCCTCAGTCACACGGTGGGGGCAGTTCTTCCTCTCCATACACAAGTCTTGTCTACCACCATCGATCAACAGATGATCCTCCCAGCCAGACATATATGCCATTTCAGTAAAAAACTCAGCACTGGATGAGACAGACCAATCCCTTGCCTCTGGGAACCCATTGCCCTGAAGGAGGCAGCTGTTAGCACAAAAGGACTCAGGAATTACAGGGGACAGAGAGGCAGAGACTTTCAGGAGATAGGACGCCATCATGTCCTGAGCAGGGGACATGGCATATAGGGAGCACAGTGCCAGGGAAGCTACTACCCTTGAGTGTCGATGACAGCCGCCACTCACTACAAGTCTGCTGTGTGCTAAGCACCCTGCCAGATGTCCACACATGCCCCTGGGTTCCACACCCAGCAAGGATTACGGGCAGAGTAGAGGGCCTGCTCTGTGAGAAAGCTGGTCCCAGGCTGGGACGCCCACCAACATGGACTTTCAAAGGCAGACAGCACTTCTCACTCTCCTCCCAAGTTCTCAGAGTGAGGCTAAGGTTTATTCTAATAAAAGGCAAATGTTGAGTAACTGCACCAAGCATGATTCACACATGAAGATGCTTTGTCAGCTGCCGGACATCCACCTCCCAGAGGCTACTGATCAGTGTGGGTCCCACCCTGCCCAGTCCAGGGGCTTCCACTCATCAGCGCACAGAGGCACAGACTGAGACAAACCTCGGGGCAGACCCACACACACCAGATTCAAAAGTGTCAACCACATTTGCAGAACAGCCTTCAGAGGCTGTAAGGCCCAGGTCAGGTTCCTGGGCGCACACAGGTGTCTTCCGACCCAATGGAGGCAGCCCCTCCCTTGCTCCACCTCCCCACATGCTCCTCCCCCACAGGCTCTCCGCTGGAGAAACACACAAATACACACAATCAATGAAAGACACCCATCGTTCTCAGTCTCTGTCTCTCTCATGTATCTCTCTCTCCCTTGCTGTCTCACACACACACACACACACACACACACACACACAGTATGGCGCCGAAGCTCACCCCATGTTAGTTTCCGCCTTCACCTTGTATTCTCTCCATCTTCAGCCTCAATCTCCTCCCCTTTCAGGAAAATGAAAATTAGCGTCCTAAATCCTCCCCCAATCCTGACGTCACAGCAGGAAGTCAGATACTTGGTCCCAGACAACACTTTCTTAAAGGCATCGCAGAGCTACCAGGCTTCCAGCGGCTAAGAGGGAAACAGGAGTGGCATAGGGGACGCCAAGGTGCTCAGGCTGTCTCCCCAGAACTGTGCCTCTAGCTCTTTCAAGGACTGGCTTCTGAGTTGCAGCTGGTCCAAGCCCCAGCTCAAGCAGCCAGCTGTGCTCTAGAAGACCTCTGCTCTTCTCCTACTAGCACCCACCAAGCTACTAACCCACCTGGTCAAGCCGATGTAGCAGCTTCCAGGCCCTTTCCCATGTGACCTGATGTCAGCCCGGGTTCAAGTTCCTGCTGGTCTTAGGATCACACAGGATCTGCTTTACAGTTACTTGTTACACTGCCTGTGTGTGGATCTTTCTGTACTTTTTGTATGTAACTTATCGCAAACAACAAAAGGAGAAAAAATAATACAAGAGACAGCAAATGGAGGGAGAAAAAAGTCTCCTCACCACCTAGCGAAATTTATAATAAAGTGAAATTTAGTTTCTAATTAAATATAAATGAGATAAAATTCCTCACTGGACTCACCAGGTCCTGTATGCTATAGGCCTTCTGCTAACTGTCTCCTGCCCTCAGTCACATTCCCTCTTTTCCTTCTAGTTTCTGAAAGCAAATTTTTGCTTCAGGGCTTTTGCACAGCCCTTCATCTATACCTGGATGGCCTTTTTCTCCTTCCTCAGACCCCCATCCCCAGCTAGTTAACTCCTGCTCACTTTCAGACCTCAGCTCAAATCATCACTTCCTCTGAGACACCTTTCCGACCACAAAGATAAGGGGCCCAACTTCTGTACAGAATCAAATCTCTCACTCTATAAACATCCTCCTTTTTGTGAGCATTTGATTAACAGGCATCTCGCCTCCAGCTGTGGACTTCCTGGGGGCACAGGTCTACTTTAGGCCATCACTGCACCCACCCACCACTCAGGGATCCCCTAGGGCAGCACCAACACAACCAGACATAATGTTCTAAGAATGTGCTATAGTTGGGGGATGGTCTCAGAGTGTGGCAGGGGCACATGGTCAGCCCAGGCCACAGTACAAATGGAACCATGCCTCCCAGAGACCAGGACTAAGGAAGCCATGGGGCCTCCCAAGGCTGCGGGGACTTCTGTATCACAGAGTTGGGAGGGCCAAGCTCAGAAGGATTAGGCTGAGAGAAAGGCAAAAGCCCAAAAGCAAACTAGCCCTGAGCAGTTCTGGTCAGGGCACTGTGACCCCCCTGGTGCAAAGCCTGCACCGCCCCATTCCTCAGATCTTGGTGAACCCTCTTCTTCCTGGCTTCCTCCATCTCTCTGAACCAACCCTTCCTCCCATCTCCTGCCACTGGTGCTGAGACGCTGTGGATCTCCAGTCCTCCATTCTCATCTCACCCAAATCAAAGCCCTTTGCCCCAAACCTGCCTGTATGGAACGAACTATATCCCCCAAAAGTATGTGTCAGGTTGACTGGATCACAATTCTCAGTGATTTGGCAGTTATATCATAATCCCCAGTGATGGGCCCTGATAGCAGTAAAAGGATTAAGGGTGGGCTGCACCAACACTAATCCCACCACAGCCAGGATCCCAAGTAGGGGAAGCTGCCCAGCCCTGGGGTGTGGTCTACACCTTTTACTTACAAGAGAGAGAAGTGAGCAGAATGCAGAGGGACCCACTACCATTCAGAAACCAGAGCCGGGAGTGAAGTGTGTCCTCTGGAACTAGAGACTCTGCACTGGGAAGTTTCTAGATCCAGGGAACGAATGATGCCAAGATACATGGCAATCTCCAAGCAATACTGGGCTTACAGATGCTGAAAGGAGACAAGAACCTTCCCACAGAGCCAGCAGAGAAAGCCTCCCACTGGAGCCAGCGCTCTGAATTTGGACTAGCCTCCTAAACTGGGAGAGAACGCATCTGTGTTACAGCCGCACTAGATGGCTAAGACACTGCCCCACATCTCTCACCTCTGTGCGGACTGAACCACAGCAGCAGAAACCAGGACACCCCGCCTTCGTCACCTCCTCAGCCCCCTTCCTAGCAGGCAATGGTCAGTGGCCAGTCTCCACTATCCTCTCTCTCCCCCTCAGGCCCAGTCTCCCTCACCTCAACTCCTGTAACCAGGACACCATATCACCTGCCCGTGGACTGTCTGGCCCCAGCCCTCTGGCTGAGCTTTCCATCCACTCACAAAAGTCTGAGTGAGCTGCTTCCTAAAACACCCCCATACTGCTCAAAGCCCCCCATGCAGTGTGCACTGTCCACATACCCACTCCTGGATCCTGACCCCGGCTGCGGTCAGAAGCTCCTGTGGGACTGTCTGAAAGTCACCTTTCAGGACCTTGCACAGGAAGGGGCTCCCTGGATGAGGGACAGAGGCTCATCACAGCCTCAGACCGGCTCAAGGAGCAGAACCAGCGAGTAATGCAGAGTAGGAGGCCCAGGCACAGGGTGCTAAGGAGAGGAACAAGGTGTTGAAGAGGGAAACACTGAGGGAACACAGTGGGGAGGCGACAAGCACAGGCTTTCATCCCTCCACTCCCTCCACGGCTGCCAGTAAGCTCAGACCCAGGTACACAGGGTGACAAGGGGCTGAATAAGAACTCCAAGGCCTGGAGCCCAAAGTCTCTTCCTACAAAGCAGCTAGGCCTGAGTGGGCTGTTGTCATCGACTGAATTGTATCCCCACAAAATCTGTATCAACTTGGCTGCATCATGATTCTCAGTGATTTGGCAGTTCTATGATGATTCCCCATGAAGTGATCTGATGTGATAAATCAGTAAAAGGATTCAGTGTGGGCTGCAGTACCCTAAATCCCATCACAACCCTGATCTGATATATGCAAGTTTCCCAGGGGTGTGATCTGCAACATCTTTGATCCTACAATGATAAAAGAAAGAAGAGCCAATAGTGAAGTGCAAGAAAGGTTGGGCCAACAGATGCTGAAAGCACACAAGGACCTTTCTTCAGTCAGCACTCTGAATTCAGGCTTCTAGACCGAAACTAGAAGAGAATACATTTCTGTTTGTTACAGCCACCCACTTGTAGTATGTCGCTGTTACAGGAGCAGTAGATAACTAAGACAGCTATCTTCCAAGACGGGATTCTATATCCACCAGGGCAAGGGGCAGACAGTACAGGGAGTACACGCTAGCCAAGATGTAGCTGTGTGTGGAGCTGTAAGTTCATGCCATGCACGCGAACTGTGTCTCACATCTTCCAGAGTGGCAGTAAGACAGCAGGACCTTGGTCAAGAGCCTGGAGTTTGGGAGGCTGGGTTGTTCCCTGGCCTTCTGATCTGGGAACCTTCATACAGTAGTCTTGACCCACAAACCTTGGCACAGAGACCATGGCATCATCAGTTGTCTCAATACCTTTGCCCACTATCATCACCCTATAACCATGCACCCACCCCAGCTGCCCATCACCAGTACCGTCCACCACCATCACCTCAGCAGTCATCTTCGTCACCATCATCCTCACTACACACCCACCTCTGTCACACCATCACCTCATTCCTGCCATGGTCGCCCCATCCTCAGGTATTTGCCACTGTTGTCCTCACCACCAGTGCCCCATCACCATGCACTTGCCATCACTTACTATCACTTCATCTCCACCACCATCATCATGCCTCTATCAGCACAACCACCTGTCACCATCATTCCATCACCATCACCCATCAGTCACCTACTGCTCACCCCACCACCTCAATCAATCTGGACCCTACAACTTCCAACCCCAACCACAGTCACCTCCATCACTGCCACCTCATCACACAGATGAAGAAACAATTTCCAAGCATAAGGACCAAGAGTCCTGGTGGTCAAAATGGTGACAGATTCTCCAGGACCCCAACCGATGATTCCTCACCATCTCACAGCCCTCCCCGAGCCCCCTGATCCCACTGTCACCACCACCAGGAAGATGTGTCCAGCCTTTAGGCCTTATTTACCCTGGCATGGGGTCACTGGAGTGAGTCCTCAGCGTCGAGGCCAATTGCCCCAATCTCTGGATCATGTTGTCCACACTGCAAAGAGGGAAACTCATGATGAGCACATTCAAGCCCCACCCAGCACACCGGCAAACAGCAAATACTGCCTTAGAACACACAGGAAGCACGCCCAACAGCAGACCTGCTACTGGGCCTCACAGGTGCAGTGATACATGCCTGGAAAGGAAACTCAGATCAAAGTGCCACAAAGTTCAAGGGCCAGAAGACCAGGCGGTGACTGGCTACCATTACTGACCATTTTGATAAAAAATTCTATAGAAGATGGAAAATGCACTAATTTCAAATTCTCATAGACTCCAGACTTTCTCGAGCCATGGGGGCTAGGTGAATCCCCAAAACTACTGTTCTGAGATCATCTCTAACTCTTACACCAAAAATACACCCTGAAGTTTTCTTAAAATCACACAACAGTTTAACATAATTCATAAGAATGTCTTCCTTGAGCATTGTGCCCTCACAGGTCATCAAACTGACAGGGACAGCTCAAATCACTGGGCTAGGAACTTAGGGGGCACTGAGTTTATATTAATGGGGGAAACACAACTCCAAAAAGGAAGTGAGAATGACTGTGCAACTCAAAGAATGTAAACAGTAAGACTGAACTGCACATGCAGAAACGGGTGAATTGGTGTGTAGACTTGGTATGCATATTCTCAGCAAAAACAAAAATTTTTTTAAATTTTTAGCACAGAAAAAGGAAGCACCAAAAAAACCTTGGTAAGCTATAATTAGTAAGGTACAAAAAATACTGTACATTAAATACGAACCCATAAAGCAATCAAGAAATATGTAGAACTTAATAATAATGAAAATATGCAGGTCAAAACTTGTGGAACACAGTTGGAGGGAAATTTGAATCTTGAGTACCTTAAATGCATTTTAGTATACTTGTTTAGACAAATGTATTAGAAAAGAAAGCAGACCAAAAATAAATGCAATAGTATTAACCTCAAAAAGATGAAAAGAAGTCATAGAGCAAACCTAAAAACAAGGGATTAATAAAAGAAAGTGCAAGACAAAACAGAGAATGAACAACAGTCACAGAAAACAACAGAGATTAATAAAACCAAAGCTTGTAGTCCTTTATCAAAACTAATCTGAAAAAAAAAAAAAAAAAGGGAAATGATGCAAAATGAAAAGGAGGAAATAATTTTAAGAACAGAGATTTAAAAATAATATTCACTTTATGTGGATTCTGATTTAACAAACCAACTATGAGAAGTCAATTTGGAAACTGAACACAAGCTAATATTGAAAACTATTAATGAATTAATGAGCTCTGGTAACGTAGTGGTTACAACTCGGGCTACTAACTTCAAGGAGAGCAGTGTGAAACTACCAGCTGTTCCATGGAAGAAAGATGAGGCTTTCTGCTCCTATAAAGATTTACAGGCTCAGAAACCCTATTCAGGGTCGCTATGAATCGGAACCAACTCCACAACACACCACCACCACCACCAGTAATGAATTACTGTTAATTGTGCTAAATGTGTTATTGATGTAATAATTACATTTTTTTAAAAAAAGAAAGAAGCTTTATTTAGCGACTGTCATGGATTGAACTGAGTCCCCACAAAATGTGTCAACTTAGTTGGGCCATGATTCTCAGTGACTTAGCAGTAATGTAGTGATAAAATCTGGCAGCTATATAATGATGTAATCGTCTCCCATGATGTAATCTGATGTGATCAATCAATCAGTCCGTTATAAGGGAGTTAGGGTGGGATGCAACAAAAACCTTACTCAGATCACAGTCCTGACCCAATCAACATAAGAGGAGCTCCCCTGGGGAACTTTGTCATCTTTTATCTTGCGAGAAATGAGAGGAGAAAGAACCAGAAGGAAGAGCCAGGAGTGAAGCACATCTTTTGGACTGAAAGTCCCTGCACTGACCACCTCCAAGATCAAAGACCAAGGAGATCTTTAAGAAACACTGGGCCCACAGATGCTGAAAGGAAACAAGGACTCTCCTCCTAAACTGTCAGTCAACAAAGAAAGCCTTCCCCTCAAGCTTGCATCAAGATTCTAGCCTCCGAAACTCTAAGAGGAGTCCAGGTATGGTGCTAGGGGTTAATGTGCTACAGCAAAGTCACTTTGAACTGCAAGGTTGGCGGTTCAAGCTCACCAGTTGCTCCTCAGAAACCCTGTATGAGGTCACTATGCATCAGAACCGACTCAATGGCACTTAACAACAACAACAACAACAAACTAAAAGAGAATACAATTCTACTGTGACAGCTCTAGGTAATTAAGACAGATCTTAGTACTAAGAGTGGATTGTTTCTAAAGGCTTTTGATTGTTTGGATCATGACAAGCTATGGACAACATTGCGAAGTATGAGTATTCTGGGCTCATGAGGAATCTGTGCCTGGACCAAAAGGCTGTTTTTTAAACTGAACATGTGAACACTGAATGGTTTAAAATTAAGAAAGATAAGTGTAAAGGTAGATGTTTTGTAGCAAAAGGAGGGGAGTGACTGACTTTGCAGTCTAGGAGCGGCGGTCCCTGGGACCATCAAGGGAGAAGAGCAGAGAGCAGGACCCTACCCAGAGACACAGTGACACCAGAGATGGAGGCAGATGATGACATGGAGATATGGAGTGGCTGGGGACTTTAGAGAGAAGGGCTGTGTGCTGACGACAAAGGGGCAGGCTTGTAGTGTATACCCTTTGGTTGGTTGATGATGCATGGAGGGGATTGTAACCATGGCAATGAAACGATATACGATAGGACGAATGTAAAGCTAATGTTTTCCCATGTAAAGTATCACATAATTCACAATAAAACATTTTTAAAAAATTAAGAAAGGTGTGTAACAGGGTTGTATTCTTTCACTATACTTATTCAACCTGTATGCTGAGCAAATAATACGAGAAGCTGGCTTATATGAAGAAAAACGTGGCATCAGGACTGGAGGAAGACTCATTAACAACCTGCGATATGCAGATGATACAACCTTGCTTGATGAAAGTGAAGAGGACTTAAATATTTACTGATGAAGATCAAAGAACACAGCCTTTGGTATGGACTACATATCAATGTAAAGAAAACAAAAATCCTCATCACTTTACCAATAAACAATATTCTGATCAACGGAGGAAAGATTGAAGTTGTCAAGGACTTCATTCTTCTTGGATCAACTATCAACATTCACGGAAGCTTCAGTCAAGAAACCAAACTCCGTGTATTGCATTAGGCAAATCTGCTGCACAAGACCTTTTTAAAGTGTTGAAGAGCAAACATGTCAGCTTGAGGACCAAGCCATGGTATTTTCAATAATCTCATATGCATGTGAAAGCTGGACAGTGAATAAGGAAGACTGCAGAAGAATTGATGCTTTTGAGTTATGGTGTTGGAGGAGAATATTGAAAGTACCATGGGCTGCCGAAAGAACCAACAGATCTATTTTGGAGGAAGTGCAGCCAGAGTGCCCCTTGGAGGCCAAGATGGCCAAACTTCGTCTCTCATACTTCAGGCATATTGTCAGGAAGGACTAGTCACTAGAGAAGGATATCATGTTTGGTAAGGTGGAGGGTCAGAGAAAAAGAAGAAGACCCCCAACGAGATGGACTGGCCAAGTGGCAGCATCGATGGACTCAAGTGTGGCAACAGGAGTGAGGCTGGCCCAGGATGGGGCAGTGTTTCTTTTGCTGTGCATAGGGTCGCTGTGGATCTGTACCTACTCGATGGCACCTAACAACAACAATAGTAAAAGCCTAGTAGTGAGGACTCAGAATGAAGTGAGGAGATTAGTAACACTAGAGATGACACAGACAGTAAGAAACAGTAGCAAAGAAATGGCAACAGCAGAAACAGGAGACCACATGAGATGTCTGGGAGCAACCTACAAGCAAGAGAGCTGAGTGCCTTTGGGCAGGAAGCTTCCTAGCAGAGTGAGGGGCCTCCAGGTACTTGTTGACAAATGAAGCTAGGCTTGCCAATCCAGAGTGAGAAATACGAGTGCATTCGGGCCAATGTTTACTGGTGGAGTGGGGTGTCTCTGGGACTTATGGGTAAAGTCAAAGAACTCTGTAACCCTTGTCCAAGTAGGGTAGAGGCTGAGCCAGCTCAAGACACTTCAGGAGCAGAAGCTGAAAAGACAACAAGCATGAGAAGCAGAGATGCCTTAGTCTCAAAGGGTAAATCACAACCTCTGGGACTTCAAAGGGTAGGGGAGGGGGCACAGGTTCCTAGGTTTCAACTCAGTTTCAGAATGAAGGGCTATCATTCACAAATGCCAGGGGGATGGAGCTAGATCCACTGCCCAAAGTTGAGGAGGTGGTTCAGACATGCTCAAAGGGCACAAGAACAGGGCCTGCAAAGGCCAAGGGAGTCACCATTCACAGGACTAGAATGGGCCTGCCCAAAGCCAGGGGAGTACAGTTGTCATCCCAGTGGGCCCGGAAGTCAGAATGGAAGCACAGAATTGAGAAGCTTGCACAAGAA